GGTTTAAGTCTAAGTTTTAGTGCAACCAAATTCAAAAACCAGTCTATTGTGAATGATCACTGGAAATATGTTACAAAATTTCAGTCATCCGTTAAAATCATATGAGCATTTATTTAATTTACTAATAAATGCAAATAAGCAAATAAATAAACTAATTTAAATATATATTCATTTTGTTTTCTTTTATATATGTTGAGGCTAGTTGAGTTGAGTCAGTGCACCTGAGCACTTTTACTCTCTATTAACTGCGAGGTTTCTTCAAAACCCCTCTTTGCGCCTTGACTAGATTATTGCTCCGATCTGCATACCTCCCCGAGGAGCCTGTAACTATTCTGAGATTTGATAACGCGGTGTTGGTAATTCTGTCAGTTTTGGCTCTATCAGGGCTCTATCCTTTATGTATTTTGTGATAGGATCAATCTTGAGGTCCCTGAGGATGTCATTCGTTCTAATGTATTTTGGTACTTTGAAAAATCTTCTCAGAGTCTTTTATTTAAACTAATTAATTTTCAGTGTTTAGAATTTTTATCGTTTGTAGTGTACACAACACAACCAAAAACATATGTCAAAAAAGCATTTAACATATTTTAAAAGTGATGTCAACTTTTTTCAACCAGACTTAATGTTATTTTTTACAACTCTGAAAGAAAAAATAACGCCTATTCTTGTTAAAAGAATGCACCTATTGTATATTTAAGTTTTACGTTCAATATTATAAGTATTCTCAATCTAAGAACAATCCTTACCTTATGATTGGTATAAGGTAATTAAGTTAAATATTGAATATGTTACACTGTATTAGAGGTATCCATATGAAAAACTGTACGTAAAAAAATTATATCATTATCTAATTACATTTCATCTAAGCTGAGCATAAGCATTTAGCCTTGGGTTGATGCCTACTCCTTGGCCGTAAAACATAGATTCGCATAAATTGGGTGCAGAGTTCTTGTTAGGTTTCCCTGGTTATTCAGAATACAAGAAAACGGTAAAAGTATTAAAATTGTTGGGATAAACTAGAAAGTTGAAGGTAATATTAAAAAAACTTAGTGTCTGTCTGTACTTAAGCTATCTAAGCGCACATTTGAATTACCGCTAAATCGTAAACAAAAATGAAACACATGTCGCAATGTCCTGAAATAAAATCAGACCTATTTTATTTGCTGTATAGCTTAGTTTTTTGGAATTTCCAAGAGATGGCATGAATTTTGTACTAAATATATTTTTACAATGACTGCGTTTTTACTGCATATCAAATTTTAATATTATTACATATATGTATATATATAAGAATATGTCATTTGTGGAAGTGCAAACAATATATGGTCTATTGCGAATTTCCTACCAACAAAACAGCATTTGCGAAAGGCATTATGTTATTGCTTTAATCAAAAGAAAAAAGTTGCTGAAAATGTTCGTCTACTTTAAGAAATTTATGGCGATCATACATAAATTCAACAGACTTGTTGAATTTAAACGGTTCCAAAGTGACGATTTTGATGTTAGCGGCTAAGGACGTTTTGGATAGCCAAAAATTCGAAGTTGAAGAATTAAAAGCATTTGCTAAGAAATATTCAGCTTAATTAAAAAGAACTTATGGAATAGTTATATGTCGATTAAACCCATAAGCCCAACATTTATATGGTAATCAAAGAGAAGGAGAATGATTATCATATGAACTGACTGAGCCAATATTGAAAATCACTTAATAGCTTGCAATTCTTTACTTACAACACACCGAACATGGCTATTTTTATATTTAATTGTGATTGATAATGAAAAATGGGTTTATTACAACCACTCTAAACGCAAAAAATTATGGATTCATCCAGGCAAACGATTTATATGTATAACAAAATGACAACAAAGGATTTATGGAAATGAGGTTCTGTTGTGCACTTGGTGGAATCAGAAAATAGCGGTATGTTACGTTAAAGCCAAAGGAAACGATTATTACAGAACGTTCCCAACCACAATTGATAGATTTGATCCATACATTGAACAAAAAAGTCTCATTTTTGTAAAAGTCGCAAGATAAGTAAAACATGCATCGGAATCCTTAAATGTGTAGTACTATCGCATGGTCACGACTTACCAGATTGTTCTCGATTAGATTACTTTTCGTTCTGGTTAATTCAAAGCTCTATTTAAAACCAGGACTTCAAAACTTACGAAAAAATCAAAAAATGGTTCAATGAATGAATCGCATCCATAAATTGCCCTTAAATAATTTTAATTAAAAAAAAAATTATTAGTTAAGTTATATACCCAATAATAATGTAAAATTCTATAAAGGTTATAAAATTTTTGTCAACCAGTTAGGTTAGGTTATGCTGGCGATACCAGATCGGAGTTTTATTTCTATCAATAGTATGCATAACTCAGAATGCACGTGTTATTAGCTTAAGATTTCTAAAAATTTGAACTCATTAAATTTATACAGATGTGATGACGCGATAATATTTTGTTTGGGTTCTGTTAGACGGCGAAATAAAACGGTAGAATTCGAATCATTAAATTTTATTTTCTTACTTTTATGTTAAATTTTATTTATTACTTGAGTACAATTTGTCCGGCAGGCGCGTTATTCCTTAGTACTGACATTGTACAACATTGTTTCAAACAAGTTTTGAAACTTGTTTCCTTTAAAATACAAAATATTATAAAAGCCAAGACATTAGAGCAATTTCAACAATGCCTACCTCGTCATCATAGACGTTTCTTAAATTGTTTACTGTATACTGACATGTGATACCTGGCCACTCTGGATAGCTCCGCCATAATTTTTAACTCAACCTTACTTTGTTTTTCAAAAAAAAAACAAAAAGGTTTTGGTTTCCAGACTTACTGCACCTTTGCATTTTTACGTACCCTTATCTTCAATATAACATAAACACATCCACACACACAAACATCATGTACACAGACTTTAGGTCAACACAATTACTGGTAGTCCTTTGTTGTATTTGTGAACGAGACTAATACCTATATAGTACACAGTAATCTTGTAGTTAGCAATATTTATAATGTCCAATCTCCAACAGTATGCCAAGATGATTACTAGTGTGAGAAAAATAAACAACATCTGACTAAGTGATAATAATCGATTTTTTATGCTTGGCGTAATACTTATGTCATATAAGTTCCAGATAAGAGGTTTCAATAACCTATCCTTATGTTTTCATTTAAAAATAATAATGTTAATAGAATTCATAGTTCTCCATCTTTATTTGGTTGAAAAACTTAAAAATATAAGGGCGGAAACTGGTCTATACAAACATAAAAAACAATCGAACTTTTTATTACATATATGACCACTAACACTATCTTTTGTTAGTGGAGCCACAAATCAATCCAATAGCGAACACAACGTATTTTGCTTCGGCAAAACCATATCGAGAAACTCAAATCAAAAAAATTAATATCGGTCTTATTCAAATATATGAAGTTTGTAGATGAGGTCATTAAGTATGTTTATAAACACCATGTTGTTTAATCATTAATTATATTTTATATTTTAATATATACAATTATATACATGTTTAAGTATATACTATAACATATACCTATAACTAAATCATATAGAATACAATTATTATTATATTTTTATACAACACGATTTGTTTAGCAAAAGTCCGATTTTTTTCGTATTAGAAATCAAGTCCCAACAATTAAAAACAATCACTATTTATTTCAGCTAATGTTGTTGAATAATTTTAAGCTCAATTACATTCATACATTAATAGTATGCATCAGGATTGCAAAATATCTATTCAATTTAATAGATTAAGAAGTTATAAATATTTTGTTAACGTATGTATTAATATTAAGTTGTATTTTAGTGCAAAGAGTATTTTACGTATTGAGTTCTAGTTTCTAGTTATAAGCTCTGATTAGAATTCACTATAATGTTGAACTAAATTCAAATTTCGTATCTGGCAATACTATTAATATTAAGAAAAATCCAGCACGTTTTTTCATTCGTAGAATAGATACTGAAGAATGAAGACGAAGAGAACACGAGGCACTCGTCAGAAAGCTGCTCCGAATGCAGTGACCGAGGAAGTGTATGTTGTAGAAAGCATCTGTGGAAAACGCGTTTCTAATGGTACAATAGAGTACCAATTAAAATGGCTGGGTTTCAGTGATGGTGATAACACTTGGGAGCCAATAAATAATTTGGATTGCAAGGACTTGATTCAAAAATATGAGATGCAGTTGGTTTCAGATAGAGCTTCGTTTCGTCAGAAGGATACAATTGATGGTCCTTTAAGCTCAGGTGACCGAAAGCGTAAAGCAAATATCCCGGAAGCAACTACAGATATTCTGACGACCAAATTTGAGCATGCTCACAGTCCAGAGTTTTCATTCAAGTTAAATTTTCAAAGAATAACTCACAACATGTTGGCAAGAAGCTGAATGTTGGTTGCGAGTCATTCATGGATTTTCACTCTTTCTCTCTTTTCTCTCAAAATTGAAAGTCTACACCGCATGTGCTGGGTTTCTAAAGGAACAATACACAAATGAAATACAGGGTTTCTTTTAAAATACAAAACAAAACACGAGACATTAGAGCAATTTTAAGAGATTCCGACGTGTTCTTACCTAAACAATTCAATATATGGCGTTGATGTCTGTAAATTTTTGTTTTGAATATTGATCCATTTTTGAATCTAATCATTACTGCTGATGGACTGTATTGCTCGTCTTGGAGAATACTTCGAAAAACAATAAAACCATTTTCACTGATTAACTATAGTGTTTTCATTGTTAGGCGCAAAACTTAAAAGGTAGCCCTCATATCAAAATTAACTTAACCAGTATTTTGCTATAACTTTTTTCTTGAATCAGAAGTTTTATGAGCATTGAATTAAGCTACTTTCAGAAAGATGTCAGGTTGATAGATAGTAATATGTAACTATATAAGAGAACGGTTTGCATGATTTTATTACACTCCAGAAGGTAGTGTTACTTTATTTCAGGTACTTATTTGCAATATTTACATTTAATGTTTCAACTATTCATATGTTCGAACGCGATGTTTTCGATTCGAAAAGCTCACTAATGCCATTATTAATTTTACTTTAATGTTTCGTTATTAACGATTATAACTAATAATTATTTCAAATTAACTACAAAAAAAGGTCAAAAAAAAAGTATAAATTTAGTTTTTAAAAATTTAAAAAATTTTTTTTTTGTTTCTTGAAAATTTCTTGTATTTCTACTAAGAGTGGATATGGCGTGGCGCGGTGATTAATGACTGCAATAATGCTGAAAACTGTAAAACGCAATGAATCTCTTCGCCCAGCTACTTTTGTATCCATTTAACACTTAAAATGCTGCATTTCTGCAGGCAATGATTTTCTTAAATATTTTATACTATTTTTAACGTTTTTAACATATTTAACAAAAGCAAAAGTTGTACGAGTATAAATGCCGCAGCTGCCATGCTCGTATCTACAGCGGCAGTAGGAGCAGAAGAAGAAGCAGAGTTCAGAAGAGGAGCTTAAATTCGTTGAGATACACAAATTAAATATAAAATATGCACTTTTAAAAAACCATTTCAAAGTTAAAACATTGTAAATGTGTTGATCGCTTAAAAGCAAGCCATCGTGTATCTTGTATCTTGTATCTTATAGCTGATATGTTAGTGCAAATGATTGCATGTGTTTGTTAGTGTGTGTGAAATTAATGCTGCCATATATGCTGCAATAGCACTTCAATAATTTAGCTACAAATAGCAGTTTTAAAATGTTGTACTTTTGGTACTTCTTGTTAAAATCTTTTCTTTTTGGGAATACTTTTTCTTGCATTGCTTCTTAAACGCCGGAAAATGGACTATAAATTAGAATCTTGACATGCACAATGTGTATCTTTGCTAATTTTTAAGTGCTCTCTCATGCAATACATTTCTCTTTATATGCACTTGCACTAAATTCACTGAATTGTTGTTGGAGGGCAAGTGATTATAAAAGAAAACTTTTATCTTCAGGAAGTTACAATAGAACTTATGTCAGTAGAAGCCAGTATAGTTTTATTGGATTTGATAATTTTTTTTTTACTAAAATAAAGTTACATTTTTTTTAGAAACAATTCTTAGATGTATATGCTGTACTGTTTACATCTTAACTATAAAACAGATGATTTAAGAGACAAAAATACTACATTATCTTTGGACTATATATAAATCTATATTAGGCTTTTTCTTTTGTAAGCATGTCGCAAAAGAACAAATAGAATAAGCACTACTTTCGATGGCAACTCTGGACAAAATGGAGATTTTGTTAGACTTGTATGTGCAAAACACTTATTACATTGTTATAAGTGAATAATAATGCATAATAATTCTTTTGTAATGATTCTCTTTTGAATAATAATTCTTTGCAATTATTGATGAAAAATTTTTTTTACATGATTGTGAATTAAATATATTTTTTAACGTATTTGTTACGAATAATGACGACACGAAATACAAATAATTAACAAAATCATTCGTTGATAGTTAACTGGAAATTTTCTACGTACTTTCAAAAGTCGTTCACAATAGACGAATTTTTAGTCTTGGTAACTTTTCAATAATTCAGTACTGTAGGAATCCGGTACTTGACCCAGTTCCTATACTGAATTTGGTACTTGAACCAACTTAAGTATGTCCAAATAATATTCGTAAGTAACAAGGCACTTTAACCTATTTGCTTTTAAGTTGTAATAAGCACTTGAACCAATTAAATTCAATGAATTCTGGAATTGAATTGTTTTTTATTATTCAAAATTTAGGCTTTTATACAGATTTGGCAAGGTGTAGATACATACAATTCCCACGATAAAGCCCTATACCTCAAGCTGCATTAAAGTAGCGATTAAATATCGCTCAGCTTAGTCGTGGGCACGGTCACAGTTGTATGCATTTTACGAATAACAAGTATGGAATATTACTTGCGTGATTTTCTTAGCAACCTGGTACATGCTTATAAAGTTAATTTCTTTCAACCTTGAACTAAGTCCATATACCAGCTTGCTTTACAAACGTAATTATTATTTTAATAATTATAATACTGACCTTGCACAAACGAATTTTCATTCCTCATAATGTTCTGTATTAAAATATTGCACATGGCAAATGCATGGCTTGTCTTTAGTTTCATATGGCGAGCAAAGTGTGCTCGTGTGATATATGAATGTTGTTGTTGTTTTTGAGAAATGTTGATATCTTAACCCAACGTTCAAAGCTAAGACACCAAGTTATGAACATTATGAAAATAAAAATTGGCTTTGACAACAAAATAAAATACTAGAATAAATCTAATTAAATTAAAACAAATGATTTGTAGTATATTATATTGATCAAAATAATAGAATAAATCTAATTAAATAAAAATTACTGATTCGTAGTATGTTGATCATTATTATGTCCAAATTGGACAGCAAACTGCTTATTAGTTAAGCGGTTTCAAAAGGGTTGGACTAAATAACCCTGCAGTGTTATTATTATTATTATTTGTTATTATTATTATTTGAAAATTGGTTGTGCACTGCGACCTAAAAGACCTATTATGCCCATTAGTTAGATTGGAGTGTTTCTCCAAGTCTGATTTTTTTAATGAAAAACTGTATAGATCCTATCTTTCTTAGTCTTCAATCCTTATGATGTGTTGTTATGATGTAAATCCTTAGATGTTTCTTCCACCTATGCACTAGTGCCCCAAGCACATTGTATGCAGTTTTTCTCTCTTTTCTATGCGAATTCTACAATCTGAATTGGATTGAATTCCTAATTTCGTTAGGTGATTATTCAATCTATAGTGACAGGTTATAATTATTTTTTGATTGTTCTGTGCAATCTTTGAAACGGTTGTAACTCCCTAAAAGTGTTTACGATTGTGATAGCTTTGGTGGCCTTTCTCATGAATGATCATAAGAATGGATAGAGTTCTTTTGCCAAGACCACAGAAAGGCTCTGGACCAGTTTATCTTCCTGCAAGTTTGTCTGGCATTTCATTGCCAGTATGCACCGGAATCCATATCAAGTACACCTGATTGTTCCAGCCGAGTATGTTCAACTTGTCAATACACTCCCATAACAGTTTGGATGTTACCTGGTAGGAAATGAGTGCTATTATAGCTGCCTGGCTGTTATATTTAAATCTCTATAATATCTATATATAAATCTCATTCTATGTATAAAGAGGATTCAAAATGATACACACACACAAAAAATAAATCAAATAATCACTCAAATATTTGCTTATTTCAAAATAGTGCTAATGCCAACGGTTGGCTCAATTCTTTATAAACTTTTTGTAGACTGATTGAGATGTGGCCCTCAACTGCTATTATAAATTGTATTTTATATTTCTTAGTATAGACTCAGAACTATCTTACTAAAATTGTAACAATGTTGACTTGTAATAGCAAAAAGCATTTCTACTTTTAAGTTAATTTAAGGTGATCTGACTTTTGTCAGGATATCTGTTTTAATGACATGTGTTCCTTTCATAGATTTTTAAATATTTTATTTATATTGTATATTAATTTCAATGTGCTTTATATGCTTTCAATAGTATAAAATTTAAATATTTTTGTAAATTGATTTCTGACATACTATAGTTGTGCATTTAATCCTAAATGAACACCGATACAAAATACTTCATAAATAATTTTAGTGCCGTAAATCCTCGTCAGCATTGTTTTTCAATATGAATTGCATATATCCCGAAGCAATTTAAGTGCTAAAAGATACATTTTAAAAAAGTTCAAAATATTTATTTCAGCTGTTTGTTGGCCGAATTAATATTGTATTGCATATTAGATTAACTGGAATTGACAGGGTACAAAAGTATCCAAACGAATGAAACAAAATGAAAAAATCAAATAAAAATTTGCTTGCAGATAAATACCTGCCTTTCTATGCGAATTTATTATTTTTGCTTCACTTCGGTTTAGCAAATTTCAATTCGTATATATTAGGTCTCGTCAACTAAACTTTGACACTTGAATGATTAATGACCACCCGCTTTTTTTTAACTATTGGAGTATTTTTATGGATGCCATATATTATGTATATGAACGACATACATACATCATATGAATAAGCAAAAACTGTAAACACTTCAAATCCTTCCTAGCTGGCATGGAATGCGGATAAATCTGTTAATTAAAGTTCAAAATATGGATTTAAAAGTTAAACAAATTTTCTAAATATTCCAAAAAATTTAAAAATTATAATCACAACATAATAATGATAACGTTAATAATTAATTCGTCTTTATGACGAAAAAAAAGTTAGACGGATTCGAATAGCAAAGAATAGGCATGAATAAAAATTCAGTTAATTTATTGAAATTTGGCAATCTTACAACGTTGTTGCGAGTGGTGTTAGGAAATATTTGAATTTCTTTTTAATTAGTTTATAGTACGTATATAATTTCATTAAGTAAACTAAATTTTTGTTCTTGTCTTTTCTTTGCTATTCGAATTGCTGATAATATTAATTTTTTTCTTATTGTAAATTTTATTGTCTGATTTTATTTATGAAATTTACTAGTTCTTGGTAGCCATTATTTGTTATTACTTTATATCTTTGTTCGCTTTGCATTATCTAAGATAATGAAAATATTTTATAACATGTTTGTGAAACATATTTTCATCTACTTGTCATATTCAATTGATCAAAAAATTCCTTAAATTAAAAGTTTTATAAATGGGTAATCCTTAAACAAGCAAAAGGGTCTTTCCCCTCATTACCTTTGATTTTGACGAAATTTTTTTATAAACTTTTTTAAAACAATAATAGAATATCTCAAAAAAAAATTCTTATAATGTTTTTTCCATGACAAACGAATCCATGAGCTTTGTGAATTCGCATTTCAGATCAGTTTTTTAATGGCCATATCCCAGGATTGGTATATGACTGAGACCTCTTTAAATATTTTTGAAATAGTTTGTGCAAATAAAATTGTTTTTATTATGTTGAGGCTAGTTGAGTCAGTGCACCTGAGCACTTTAACTCTCTATTAACTGCGAGGTTTCTTCAAAACCCCTCTTTGCGTCTTGACTAGATTATTGTTTATCACTGCATCAGACTAAGTAATAATTGACCTCCGATCTGCATACCTCCGCGATGAGCCTGTAACTATTCTGAGATTTGATAACGCGGTGTTGGTAAGTCTGTCAGTTTTGGTAAATAGGCTCTATTCAGGGCTCTATCCTTTTTGTATTTTGTGATGGGATCAATTTTGAGGTCATTCGTTCTAATGTATTTTGGTACATTGAAAAGTCTTCTCAGAGTCTGGCTTTGTGCAATTTCTAGTTGACGAATAGTAGTGTTTGAAGCTTTGCTAAACGCTGCACATCCATATATGTTTCTGTTTGAATACTAATATTAACCATTAATTTATCAATATACATATTGAAAATTTACATTTTTGATTTTTAATTTAGATTTGTCATGAAACTTTAACAAAAAACTAAAATTTTTTTGACGGCATCATGTTTCGAAGTAGTTTTAAAATATTATTTTGTCTTGTACCATGTGTGAAAAATTTTTAATTTTCGAAAAATATGTTGCAAAAAGATAAATTTTTTATTTTTGATTCGGATTTACTATTAAAATGTTCAGAATTATTTTAGATTCTGGAATATTTTTAAAAAATTATTTAACGTGTTAAATTATTCTAAATAATACTCCACTAAAAATATTAATATGTTGTTTCTTATTCTAATTATCTCTAGATTTATTAGAAGAAGTTATTCTAAAATGAGAACAGATTAAAAGAAAGTTTTCTAACATATATGGTCATCATGATATCTAATAGTTGGGACCACATTGGATAACAAAGTTGCACTTAAAATTTACTCTAAACTCAATAGAATGTCATACTTTGCAAACATAATTCTGAGAAAAATGGGAAATAGGAATTTAAAAAAAATTTTATTCAAAGTATTGGCCATTGCTTTCTACACATTTTGACCACCTTTCTGGCAATTTGTGGATACCACGCCAAAAAAATTGTTCGTCTTTTAAAGCAAACCAACCAGACACCCAATTTTCGACCTCCTCGTAGGAATCAAAGTGCTGCTCAGCCAATGCGTGTCCCATCGATGAAAACAAATGGTAGTCGGAAGGAGCCAAGTCTGGTGAATACGGTGGGTGGGGTAGCAGCTCCCAGCCAAGTGTTTTGATTGCATCCTGAAGCCGTTTTGCTTTGTGTGCAGGTGCATTGTCATGGAGCAGAATTACCTTGCCGTGTCTTCTGGCCCATTCTGGTCGTTTCTCGATCAATGCATGGTTCAAATTTATCATTTGTTGTTCATAGTGACCAGCATTGACGGTTTCACCAGGTTTTAGGAGCTCGTGGTACACCACACCTTTCTGGTCCCACCAAACACACAGCATTGTCTTCTTGCCGAATCGATCTGGTTTTGCAGTCGATGTTGATGGTTGTCCCGGATTAACCCATGATTTTTTCCTTTTAGGATTCTTAAAATAAATCCATTTTTCATCGCCAGTAACAATCCGATGCAAAACCGATTTTCTTTCGTGTCTTTGAAGCAAAATTTCACAAGTGTTTTTTCGGTTTTCCATCTGTCTTTAATTCAATTCATGTGGCACCCATTTTCCACACTTTTGGATCTTTCCCATAGCTTTTAAACGGTCAGAAATTGTTTGTTGTGCAACATTTAACATTTCTGCCATTTGCTTTTGACCCAAAGTGTCATCTCCATCTAATATCGTTTGCAATTCGGCGTCTTCAAACTTTTTTGGCGGTCTTCCACGTTCTTCATTTCTCACATCAAAATCATTATTTCTGAACCGTTGAAACCATCTTTTGCATGTTGCTTTTGATAGAGCATGATCACCATATGCCTCGACAAGCATTCGATGCGACTCTGCACCACTTTTCTTCAAATGAAAACAAAAAATTAATGCTTTCCGCAAATTGTCACTTTCTGATACAAAATTCGACATTTTTAACACGATGAAAAAGTATGATGTTGTCTGTTCAATGACTTGATGTATACTAAATATATTTCACACATGTCATAACAAACAAACAAAAAGAAATAAAGGCTCGTTCATAACAACAACATAAATGTACACCTGGTATAAGCAGCCCATCCATATGTCAAACAAAAATAGAAACTGCGGCGAATTCGAAATATACAATATTCTGCTTTAGAAAAGGTTGATGTGAGTAATAATACATTCACACTCTCTCATATAATCACTTATTAATTTATACTAAGTACGAACACACCTTAATTTCGCAAAAATCTTAATTTTATCTTCCCTTTAGTGAAATTAAATTGTTTTTTCAATACAAAATTCAGTTTCAAGGTTAGAACGAAATTAAGGATATTAAGAAAAATTTCAAAAACAAATATGCGTAAGATAAATTTTAAGCAAAAGATATAGTTGAGATAACGAAAAAGTGACATTTTTTTAAAATAAATGTCAGTGACAGTTGATTTTAATGAAACCGGAAATATGTTTTAAAATATATTTAATTTTTTTGTGTTATATATTATTAAGTGAAATTTATAAGTGTATAAAAGTTCTATCAGCTGCAGAAATGAGCTCATTATAATGTGAACGTTTCCTCATTAATATAATATTATGTTCAAACAGCCAAATTTCTTTAATTTTGTAAAAATTAAATTAAGTTAATTTCGAAACTGTTCATACTTTCCCAAATTAAAGAATCATACGTTTTTTGTACACAAATCGAATGTTAAAAATTACACGATCCAAACATCATTTGTATGTGGAAAATTCAATAGTTTTATTGGCTTTAGTAGATTTCTGGTATGTGAATTACTATTTTCTCTTTATTTTAAATTAATAAAAGTTACAGTTCTTTAAAAATTTGCACTACTTTTAAAATATTTCGCGGTTTTTTTTAAAAACAACTGTCACTAACATTTATTTTAAAAAAAATTTCCTTTTTTCGTTATCTCAACTTTATCTTTTGCTAAAAATTTATTTTACAAATAGTTACATTTGAAATGTCCCCTAATTTCAGCCTACGTTTCAACGAAATTAAGATCATTTTTCTTAATCTGTTCGTAAATAATTTTTTTATTTTAAATTAACATAAAATATATTATACATATATCATTTTTTATATATTTTATGTATATTAATTAAATTTTTTTTATTGTACTTGCTTGACAATCATTTATTTACATGTAATTGCTTTTAAATATATATATGCACTTGTATTGATTTTGCCATCTTTAAAAAAATTTCAAGTAGTTGGCTACACTTTTCGCCGTGTGCTATAAATTTGTGTCAATTTTTAGTTGCTGTTGGTAGGCAGGAAAAAAGAGGCGATTATTTGTAAAAATCTGTATAAAACTTTAAAAGTGCAAATTATTACAAAAAAAAAAAGAAATAAATAAATAAACATTAAATCCGTAACTTTTTAAATATTGATTTAATTATAATTTAAGTTCTAAAATGTATTACAATTATTACATTACTAAAACGAGACGTAGCAGCCGCTTAGTGTAAGAATTATTTTCTTAATTAAATTATTTAAAACAAAAAAAACAAAAAACATCTACAAATCAATAGTGCAAAATGAATATAATAAATTTAAATAAATATACTTAATAATACCAATAGTTAATAATGAAATGAAAACTAATAATAATTTTAATAGTTGAAAAGACGATTACACATTTTACTCTTTCTCTCTTACTATTTCTCTATTTAGTTCCTTTATCCCCAACTGTTGGGGGCGACAACATATAGCATCTTCATTTGTACATATTTTCCTTTGTCCTAATTTCTGTGCTTGAACTCAGAAACAGAAACAGAAACGTGTAAAAGTGTTCGAGTAGAGATCAGATGAAGTTGAAAATGTACCTAAACTTTTCATTATGTCACAACTGACAAAAGACTTGACATACTTAGTACCACAAACTGTGCGGTACCGTTGCAGTGTTGTTGTTATTGTAATAAGCTAAGGTTTGTTGCCTTTTTGTACTGTTAAGTGTTTCTTTTTTATGAGTATTTTACGTACACATATGCTGACTCACAATATCAAAGGAGACTGCCGTGATTTTTGGCAAGCAGACACAGTGCTGTGACACAAGGCGATCGGTTGTCGTCGTGGAAAATCGAATTGCAATTTAACATCTGATTTTACATTGATTAAAACAAATTAAAATCAATTGTAAAATTTCAGTAAATATAAATGAATAAATTGTGTAAATATTGTAAAACGCATAGAGTGTTTGATTGGGCTTAATTAAATGTGTGTTGTACAAGCCATGATACGTGTGAGTGTGTGTGTGTGTGTGGTTTCGCTATTCAGGAAGTTAAGAGTCGGAACAACTGCAGTTAATACTGAATTTTATAAAAAGTATAAAAAAAATAATGAAGTAAAAAATTAAAATAAAACTAATTGCATTAATTACCGGAAAATTATTTTTATTTAAATCTAACCACTTGTTTTCCATTAAGAAACTATAGTACCCATAGATTGGGTCATTTATACACATTCAGTGTAAGAGTGTAACCATTACTATATGATTTCCATAGAGGAAATTTCAATAGTCCTTAATAGTCCAAAAAAGACAGATGAGCGTTATCGAGCGTTATACATGTATCTATATTTGGAGTACATTCTTAGTAGTGAATATATGCGAATCTACATTGTTATTAAAACCTTTGTTGTCTCCCAGCTTCTCCGATATTGGGCCATTTATGGGTATTCAATATATGTTGCTATTCCTGATGCTAGATAAAAGGCATCACAAAGTGACTTTATTTTTTAAAGTTCAAAGGTAAAAGAGTCTATTTGATAAACTAGCCCAGAGTGATTCCCTTGTAGGAAAATTGAATAGTACTTATAGACTAAAGTGTTACCGGGATGTGTATTCATATTTAAAGCGCAGATGAAGGTTAATTTTTAAAACCACCATATATAAACTACAAACCAAATGGTAGTGAATATATTTGAATCTATAATTTTATAAAAATCTAACCAATTTTGTTCCCTAGTTGCTTACGGAAGTACTCACATATTGTGCTATTAATGAACATTAAATGTATGTAACTATTATTGTTAGTAGACAAGAGGTGACATAAAAGCAGAGTGAAAGTCTATTTAATAAACATTAATCATGAATAATAATTACAAGGGTAAACCAAATTACTATCCAGGCAATATCTTTTTGCGTGTCACTTCCGAGATGGACACCTTAATAGTATAATGCTTAGTAGTGCCATCCCATCAATATTCGTTGATCACTTCATAATCAGTAAGGTCAAATATAAATATATAAAGGAAAACAGCCCTCCATAATGATGCAGCATCCTTTTAGAGACTACGGTTGTAATGGAACAAAGTTCTTATAGGCATCTGTCTTGTACTGTCTTGTCAATTTAAATCTGCATATAGCTAAATAGTTACCTGTCACACATAAATGCGTCAATTAACAACGTGTAACCTAATTGTAGTTTCAACTTTTTCGTTGTCCCTCATCTATTTTCCTATCTCAATGCACACACTAACTTAAGTTCTATTGATCTTTGGACCCGCCCCATTGAAGTTGTTAGGTTTTTCTGCCTTGATCCTGGTTGAGTGCAGAAAACGATATAAGTGATCCAATAGGTTAATCACTGAAACAGAAAATCTCGTTTCACTTCATCTATCTTGCCGAAATTTCTAAATATTTTAGCTTATCTAGATGTATGAATTAAACTGTTATATTCTTATAATAAAATAAACATAATTTGAAATCAAAAATATCATAATTTTTCAATCTAAACATAAGCATTTTAAACAAAGTATTAATTAATTTTATTTCTTATTTCTAGATATTAAATATTTTAAGTTTGCAACGTGTTGCGTTGTAAAAACCAATGAACAATAGTATAAACACCACTTCGAAAAGTATATATTCGTCTGATGAGGAAACACCGTCTGAAACTAAGAAGAACGGAAAACCACAAACAAGCTTATTAACAACGACTGCAACAGCTCAGGTATCAAGTCAGATATATCCGAAGGACATACTCTACAGCACTGAAGAGGAAACGAAACAACAAAACAATCGTATTTTTACCAATTTATTGCGTTTCAATCTTTTAAGTGGCATATGCGGTCGTAGAAATTTTTATGGTAATATTCCGAGTAGTAATAGTGGTACGGAAGCAGCTGCAAATGGAGAGGGCACAACTAAAACTGATGTAGCAAAAACTCAAACAACAAAAGAGTTTATAATACCAGCTGCAACGGTTTTTTCGTTAGCAAAATCAAGTGCAGTAAATCAGCAATTATCAGCTAGTAAAAAGGATACGACTATAACGACAGTTAACACAACCTGTGCTACAAGTTTTATAACTAAATCCGTAAGTCCAGCATCGAGTTCTTTATTAACGAACCGACGTCCAAATTATGCTTATTTTCAACAACAAGAACTTTATTATCCACATAAATCTCAAAAAACTGGTCGAATTTCAGGCACACCACCACCAGCGGAACTGTATCAGGAATTGAACTTAGATGATTTGGAACCAAGCACCAATCAACAAGCGCAGAAACACCGTGGTTTACTAGTAACTCGTTCGTTATTTGATGTGTCAGCAACAGCGAAGCGTATAGCTAATAATAAGGATTTCAATAAAGTTGATAGTTTAGAGCAAAAAACTGCGGATGAACAAAAACCGGCTTTGTATAATCAGTTTAAGAGACGTCTGAGAACACAGTGTTGGCCACATAATAGTAGTCTAAACACTGCTACAGATTTGCGCAGCCAATATCAGCATTCATTTCCATTTTATAGTTATGCTGGCACATCCAATGATGGTGTGCCTATAGAATTTCCCCAGTTGAATGATAAGTCCAATATTTATTATCATAAGCCTAAAAAAGTAGCCACACGTTCGCTGGAAGAAGACGTTACAAGAGAGGAACCAATACCTGATTTATCGCATTTCTCAACCTATAAGGATTATATAGAAACTTCGAATAATTACTGGTTGCAGCAACAGAAAGCAGCTACTACAGACGCGAGTGGATTTGATACAACAACAGCAAATAGCTATCGTGAACTACAGCAACAAAGTTCTTTGCCAAGTTATTTGACCTCAGCACCGATACTACTAGCTGCACTTACAACTCCACAAAAGCAAGGCGCAGCAGTATTATTAAACAAAAACTATCCTTATCAACACCAAAATCCGCAACAGAATATAAAAACACAACTTTATCGCACCAAGAGTAGTAGTACAAGACCACCTTTGACAGCACAAAGTTCATTTACTGCCTCACAGAGTGTCGGCACAAATTTATCATTCTTAGCACGGCAACACTCATTCGACGATGATGAAGAGGATCTTGAGCTTCTTTGTTTAAGTGATGTCAAATCTGAAACAGATATAGCAACCAAAAGTTCTGTATCACGACAGTTGCTGTTACATACGGGTGCACGTTTAGAACGTCAACAAGAACTACATAGCGGTAGCTGCGAATCAACTCTGTCCACAGCGTCTACTGCAAATAGTGAGCGATTTACCACAGCTGTAGATGGTAGCGAGGATAGTTCAATTGTAGCACCATTTAATGTTTCCTATAATACGCTGTTCGAGAGTTCTATCCAAGAACAATCACAATATAATTACTTAGCGCCAGAACAAGAACGTCATGAATATATACCATTTAGTTATATAAAAACCACATATAGTGCTCCCATTCCAACGGCAACCGTGAAAATAACAAAACCTGCAACATTGACATCCTCAGAAAGTAATACAACAGCACTTTGTAGTGATCAGCATGTAAAGGTAATGATGCCTATGTTGAAGAAAAATCAAACACAACCACAGCAACAGCAATCGAGCACGTCCATTACATCTTCATCAAGTTCAAATAGTTTAGAAACTCATACCATACCCACACTTATGCTTGGGCAGCGCACTAATTCCGTTGAATGCTTACGTTATGATACTGAATTAGTAGATGATAGTGCAGCTGAAACAAAATTAACAAAATACTTATCAGATAGTTTATACTTAGGTGATAATCCAAATTCAACTCAAATCAAAAATATATCGAATAAATCGGTAATAGAAGCATTATCAACAAAACCCACTACAACAAATCTGTTAACCGAGCCAATTAGTTACCAAACAAACGTATTAACTGAAAGTATAACAAAAACAACAGCAACAACAACAACGAGCAACGGCTCAGCTTGTAACAATAATAATTTCTCATTACAATCGAATGTAAATATTCTAAATAATAATCATAAGAATCATAGCGGTACCACTAGAAAGAATATTTCCATACAAACAATACAAAACGATACAAAATTAATTTATAATAATAACTCAAATTCAGCAATGGTTGGCACACAGACTCAACAACAAATTCATCACTCAAATAACCATCATCACGTACATCAATTGCAACGCTCTTCACTGAGCAGTGATATAGCTTGTGTGTCTACAACAATTCATTCACCGACAATATCATCATCAAGTGCCAGTACTGGCGCAGGCAGGGAACAAGTACTTAATGATGCACAAATAGCACACAATAGACATGTTGTAGCCACATTAGCTAATGAATCTAATATAACGTACAACGACTCAAAAAGAAATTCTCAATGCACTGATCTACTCTCGCTCCATGCTAGTAAAGCTGGTAATGCAACCATAAAACACGAACAAGGTATATATTATGGATAAGTAAAGATCTTAAAATAATTTTTAGTTAATTGTAGAACTTCAAATATTATTTGAGCTATGAAAAGATTTCAATACCTTGATGTTCGAAAATGCTAGTGCTCGTGCACAGCTGTCCTTTCGATCGAAAATGCTCTAATACATTCTAACAGATCTAATTACAGATCTTAAAATAATTTTTATTTAACTTAGTTACCTTCAAATATTATTCGAGCTGTGCAAAAATTTCAATACTTTGATGTTCGAAAATGCTTCTACTCGTACACAGCTATCTTTTCGAAAATGTTCTAACACTTTATAATATATATAGTATTTAAGACTATTAAATAGGGATCGAAAATCATAATTATTTTAAAAATTTTTAAGAAAAAAGGCAGCAACTTATAGTTGACAAAATTTCTATTTAAGTTTAAAATTATTCTAACAACTGTCATCGTTAATATATATAATAATAATATATTATATAGGCCGTGTGTGAGTTTGAGTAAATTGAGGTAAAGTAAATTGAAATTTTCTACGGATTTTTTGCATTGCACTTATGTAAATATATATTTATTACTTATTGCTCTTATGTAAACATTTATTTATTTCCTTATTGCACTTGCTTATTATTTTGGGTTAAAAGTTTTCAAATTTATTTATTTATTTATTAAACATCATAAAAAATTTTCACAATGGTAACACCTAATTTACCTAATTTTTATCTAATTTTATCTAATAAGAAAAAAATACAATAAAAGGCTCGCAGAACATGTTAATCTCTTAGTAAGAAATCTCGCACATCTATCCTCTACTTCGCGCCTAAAAAGAGCTGACCGTTCAGTTATTAATTAATATTCAATAGCTTGAAGCAAAAACCGCACCTTTCTTTTAATTAATCTGATAAAGTTGAACTGCTTTCTTAATAAACCACCCAACATTCACTCCAATGAAATTTAACCCATTGATCTAAGTGAGGTGCGTAATATAAGGTGTACTTATTTTATTTTATACTATGTATAGGAAAAATTAAAATTTGTAATATGTAATTAGAGATAGGATTTTAGAATTTATTGTTGTTAGAGTAGGTGCAATGTGTTTAAATATATACATCTCGAATATTTCTTCGAATATTTGAAGGTTTCGATCCAAATGTTGGATTTCAAGTATAATCAGGCCGCCCGAATATTCAAATGTAGGGAAAATAGAGCACCTCAAGCACTAGTTATTGTGCTGCGAATTAACTTAAATTATTTTAATGTTACTTTGAAATCTTATTAATTAATTTTTTGTTATTTGATAAAAGCTTAAAGCAGAATTGCTCTTCGCGTAGCTCAAATTTCTCTGAATACTTAAGGGTTTCGATACAAATGTATTTCGATTGACTTCAAATATACTATACTTGGGTTGCTCAAGTATCATAATGTTGGGAACAAAGAACACTTTGAAGCAGTAGCTCTCTGTATGAACTTAAATTACTTTAATTTTATTTTAATTTAATATTTCAGCAACTGAGTTTTTGATGTTTAATAACAGCTTAAATTAAAATTTTGTATCTATTAGGTAATTTCAAACCAATTATTGTTTCAAACAAGCTTTGCTTAAAACAAACTTTGCCTTATAACGAATTTTATTTAAATTCCCTTAGAGTTTGATTTAAGTGAAAAGAACTGGGTATAGTAGAACTTCGCTAATATATATTAGCGATATATATTTCTACACTGTAAAGTAGAGATGTTCATAACATCTAGATTAATGAATCCAATGATTGTTTCGAATTATAAGGAACATAATGTATATTTTGCAATTTCAAATTTTGTTCGGATCACGATAGAATGCTATTTACGGAAGTTTCGGATTATTGAAGATACACTGTATTTTATATTTTATAAATATTTTCTTGCCAATTATTCAAATATAGAATAAAGCAATAACCGTTAACAATAGTAATATAAGTATTGGTTCTCCTCGTTGTGTAGTATAGAGCGCATTTATGCTTATTTTAAATAATTTATGTATTATTAGTTATTATTGATGTTATTATAATATATTCAAGTATGATATTTTTTATTATAAATCATGTATAAACTAAAGTAATATTATTGACGTATATTATATATTGTACACATTAAAAATTTTTATTTTTATATTTTTTATTTACTAAATTCTTGGATAAGTATATATAATATATATTGAATAATATTAATATTAAATATTGATTTTTAATGAAATATATTAAAAATGTTTATAATTACTTTTTAATTTCAGCATTATCACTGCCGAATATGTCTGTGAGTAGCATAAAAGCATCTGCTATTACAACTTTAGGTACAAATGGTTCATCATCTTCATCGAATAATAAAGCAAGCATTTCATCAGTATCGGGAATGTTAGTACCATGCACTTCAGGAACACCAACAACGACTGCAGTAAATATTTTAAGTACTCGAAAATCATCGAATGCAACAGCATCTCCATTGAAACAAACATCTGAAATATCACATTCAAATATTGGTGCTTTAGTGCCAATGCCAAATACACTCTCCACAGAAACGTATCCATTTCATGAACAAATCATTATGTCAGGCCAACAGAAGTGTGCATTGCAAGAGAAACCAAAAGCATTAGTTGTTTCACCACAACAGGTTATGATACTCTATATGCATAAATTAACACCATATGAACGTACAGAAATACTTGGATATCCACAAATTTATTTCATTGGAGCTAATGCAAAAAAACGTCCTGGTATTTTTGGTCCAAATAATTCAGATTATGATAATGAGCAGGGCGCTTACATACATATACCACATGATCATGTTGCTTATCGTTATGAAATGTTGAAAATAATTGGTAAAGGCAGTTTTGGACAAGTTGTCAAAGCTTATGATCACAAAACTCACGAACATGTTGCCTTAAAAATGGTGCGTAACGAGAAACGTTTCCATCGTCAAGCACAAGAAGAAATTCGAATATTACATCACCTGCGACGTCAAGACAAATACAATACTATGAACATTATTCACATGTACGATTATTTTACATTTCGAAATCATATGTGCATAACATTCGAATTGCTTAACATTAATTTATATGAATTAATCAAGAAAAACGGTTTTAAAGGATTTAGCTTACAGTTAGTACGAAAATTTGCTCATTCATTGTTGCAATGCTTGGATGCCCTTTATAAAAATGAGATAATACATTGTGATATGAAGCCTGAAAATGTTCTGCTAAAACAACAAGGACGCTCAGGCATCAAGGTGAGCTAATTATAACAGTTACTTTATAACAGTTTTCTAACAGCTTTTGTTTAAGTAGTTCTAACGGTATGTTATTGTTGTTAACGGTTTGAGGTGGGGTGGGGTGAGCGACACTTCGTTATCTTTTGTTATTAAGATTGATTTCAATCTCTTATTCTGTCTTGCTTTGACAGTCCATTAAAGACTTATACCTACCAAACAATCTTCGTCCATTAATATTAATTTCTTACTGCCAATCTTCAGTTATATACTCATATTATGCTGAAGTTTTTGTCGCTGTTATATCAAATGTACGTATTAAATGTTTGATATTTAATCGTATATATATCAGAAATAATATAAAATGATCTGACAGACTCCAAGTATTTTAAACTGATTTAATTTTACTTGTCTCAATTTGACATAAATATTTAAAAAGATAATACATAATAATAATAAATATATAATAATAATAACAAATTTTTTCTAATTTAGGTCATAGACTTTGGTTCATCTTGTTATGAAAGTCAACGTGTTTACACATATATACAATCTAGATTTTATCGTGCGCCAGAAGTTATTTTGGGTGCAAAATATGGTAGAGCAATTGATATGTGGTCATTGGGTTGTATATTAGCTGAACTATTGACTGGTCATGCATTATTTCCTGGTGAAAATGAAGGAGATCAATTGGCTTGTATTATTGAAGTATTGGACATGCCAAGTAAAACACTGTTAGCAAATGCTAAGCGTGCAAAAGCGTTCTTTAATCCCAAAGGTTATCCGCGTTATTGTACGGTACGCACAATGGCAGATGGTGTTGTTGTGTTGATTGGAGGCCAATCACGTCGTGGCAAACCACGTGGACCGCCTTGTTCCAAAAGTCTTTCTAAAGCTTTAGATGGCTGTAAGGATCCATTATTCTTGAATTTCATACGTGGCTGTTTAGAATGGGATCCAGATAAAAGATTAACTCCAGCTGAGGCACTTAAACATCCATGGTTGCGCAGGCGTTTGCCACGGCCACCAAGTAATGCAAATGGTAGCGGTAGCAGTGGTAATAATGGTATGGGTGGTAGCACAAGTGACGCCCAAACTCCTGTTTCTGGTAAATAATAAAAAAATAAAATTAATATTTTTTGCTTCTACATTGTTTATAAAAAATTTTAATTTCATAGGTAGTAATAATGCAGTAGCAAGTAGTGCAGTTACTTCATCAGCTGCTTCGTCTGTTGCTGATATTGGTAGCAATGGTGCGGGCGGCGATTGTCATACAGTGACTTCGACAGCAGGAAATAAAGGCACAACATCTTCAGCAAGTTCGGCTTCCATTTCGTCGACAACTTTGAGTGGTCAAAAGTTAGTCGATCCATTATGGGAAACATTACCAACAAGTAATGGCAATAAAACTAATCGTATATCTACGAATCTTAATATTAAAACCATTACAGCTACTACAGATTTATCTGCACCCTCAGAAAATGTAGCTGCTTCTGCTCCAGCACAAAGTTCAAATTCTTTAATTGTATCAGCAATGTCATCCTTTTTAACAAAGAATTCGAACAGATGTGGTAGTAAGTTTCAATATTTTTTTGTTTTTGCTTTTGCTATTATTTAATCATTAATTTAGTTTATATTGTTTAATATATTTTGGTGTTTATTATAATGTGAAGTAGATAAACATATTTATCCTTGATATCTTTCATCGAATTTCCCTCGTTTTTGGAATTTTCATGTATATCTTAAAGTCATACTCTGGAAAAAACTTATTTAAGGAATGTACGGGATTTCTCATATAGTTCTTAAACACATTTAGGACAAAACTGTTTTAAGGCAATTTTTAAATATTCCTTTTGCAAAAAAAGAAGAAAGGAACTTTTGGAAAGGCTATCTATTTATTAATTTTATTATTTCACTTAGATTTATTATTTTATTTAATTTTATTATTTTATTTAATTTTATTATTTTATTTAATTTTATTATTTTATTTAATTTTATTATTTTATTTAATTTAATTTGATTTTATTATTTTATTTAATTTTATCATTTTATATATTATTTTTAAATTTTAATAAGTACTTAATTTTATTATATTTTATTATTTTATTTCATTTAATTTTATTTAATTTTATTATTTATTATTTAGTTTTATCATTAATTTTTAAATTTAATTTTTTTATTTTACTTAATGTTATTACTTTGCCTTATTTTACTTAGTATCATTATTTTATTTAATGTTATTATTTTTTTTAAATTTTATTTAGTTTCATTTTTTTATTTAATGTTATTATTTTTTTTAAATTTAATTAGTTTATTTAATTTTATCATTTTATTTAATATTATTATTTTTTTAATTTCATTGTATTACTTAATTTTATTCTTTTATTTAATTTTATTAGCTTATTATTAGTTTTTTCTTGAAATAGTAACGAAAGATATATGCTTAGAATCAAATCATTTGTCTAATACATTTATAGTCATCGTATTTAAATCGTTATACATTTTATTATTTCAAATTTTTTATATTAAATCTTTCTTTTTTTAGAATAATAAATTTTTGTAAAATTATAAAATAATAATAAATTTTTGTTTTAATTTTTAGGTAATTGTCAAATTTCTTCCAATGATGGGAATAATTTCAATTCGCTTAAATATATGCCAAACTTGAGTGCATCTTCTTTAACAAATGCAACGAATCCGAACAATATAAACAATGTTGCTACTACTGATAATAATTTAACAGCCGATCTCATAAAATCTACCAAAAATATGCTTAAATGTGCAAATGAAAAATTTGAACAAAATAAAATTGCAAACAGTGGTGCTGTTAGTAGTGCAAGCGATACTGCAGTGCATACCAACAATACTAAGGAGATTTATATGAGTCAAAATCAACGAAATACGCTTCAAACGTCAACGTTGGATAAAACTTTAAACAAATCACTCAAATTAACAAGCAAGCAAATGTAGCAAAAACCATCTATTATTGTTAATCGTATGTTTTTAGAATTAGATACCATCGAAACACGGCAGTACTCTAGTACATAAAAATGTATTATGTTAACACTGCCATTCTAGAATTAGGAACATTAAACACTCAATATATTTTAATTTATATATATATGTAAATATATATATATATATACAGATTTTCTCATTTAATTTGTATTAATTTTATATGACTTCGCTTAATAACTTGTAATAGTTATTTATATATAAATATGTATATAAATGTTTTATGTAAGACTTTGTGTGCTTTTTGTCAGCTTTTAATTTATATATATAATTTTTTTTTTGTTTTATGTTAAGATGAAGATCTCACTAATATACGGTCTGTTCCGAAGAACTAAAATTAGTTAAACAATGAAAAAATGATTTTAAACTAATATCGTAAAATTAGCATTAACTTGAAAGTTTAAAGTAGCTTATTAATGAAATTAAAATAAAATTAAGCGATTTTAAGTAGAGCATAATTCATATATATATATACAACATTCAAAAAAGAAAAAAATAATTTACAATATGCAATTAAATTTAAAAATATTAAAAATTAAAAGTAAAACAAAAAAGAAGGTTCTTAGGCAATAATTGCCTATACAAATTAAATTGTTACATAAATTGGAATTGAAAAATTATAACATCATAAGGTTTATAAAATTTTCTCACAAACTATGTCTGTCCATTTGTTATTAAATATTGATTCAGTGGCAACTTGTTTATAAGTTTTCACGTATGTATCGCAGGCTAAACTGGGCCAGGGTTTTAAATATAAATAGGAACAATAAAAATTATTTGATTATATTATTATTGTTTTATTTTATAATATGAAATAAATAACAAATTAGTCTAATATACATACATGAAAGATTTAATAAAATAGATTTTTAAAACACATTTGGTTTTACAACTTTAATTATTTTTTTGAGACAGTATTTATATTTTAACAATACTTACATATATGTTATTTTAAAAAATTGTTTTAAATCCTAAATAAGTGTCTTATAGTGAAATTAATATTAATAATAAGTTAAACTTTTTGTCTGCCAATAATAATACAAAAAAAAAAGAAACCGAAGAGAATTCAATATATAGTTTTAAGATATAAATTTTGGCATCATGTTCACTTGTTAACTGCTTCATATAACATTGATTATTGTTGCTGCAGTCTATTAAAGAGAGTGGATAATGGAATTATAAAATTTAAAATTAAAACATTTTTAAATGCTTACAGGAATTGTAAATTATTTTTTAACTTTTGCTTTGTGCTGCTATAATTAAAAATTTCTATTCAAAAAAAAAAAAAAAATAAATTGAATATAAATACATAAATCCCTATATAACTATTTAATAAAAATATAACTTAACAATTTTAATTTTTTTTCTTGATTTACATTATCATTATGTTTATAACATAATTAACTTTATAAGTTAGTAACTTCAATTAGTCATTTCTTATTATAAACATATCTGTGAGTTTTTCATTTCAAAATTTTTTAAATATTGTTTTTTATATGTGAAACATATATGCTATTTAAAATGTAATTAGTTAAATCTTGTGTATATAATGTATATTTATTTTGAAGTTGATTTTGCCATTTGAAAACGTACAAGTTAAACTAAAATTTATTGCACACTTAAAACGTTGAGCAGACCGTATATATAACTCAATTTTGCTTTTATTTATAGTTTTAATGTTATAATTGTAATCTGGCTTTAAGTGGAAAAATTTTTAACCATATTACCATAACAAATTTGTAGTATAAAAGTGTTTTGTTTATACATCATATATATTATATATAATGATAAGCAACGGTATGAAGTAATATAAAATATGCAGTGCCAGAAAAATATTAAAAACAAAAGTTGTATTAAAAGTAACAGTTAATGTTCTACATGAGTAAGAATATAAAGTTTAAAGTTTTAAAAACTAAAAAAATAATGTAGTTAAACCCCAATAGTGTTGCTATAAAACTTAACAAATTATAATTTTTCAATATATATATATATATATTATATAGATATATAAATATATATATATTGTTTGCTCAATGTCTCAAGTTATAAAGTTATATATCGAGACCTCTTTAATGTCAGGCTTATATGCCTAAAACCCTACCATTCCCTAAAATTTTGATATCTTGTTAGATATTAATGTTATAATAACCCTCTCAACTAACTGTTATAATAGTGTAGACTTACTGTCAAAATGTGTGACCTATGTAAACTGTTTTGGTTTCTGAGCTAATTTTTTGTCAAAGTTCACCTTCTAATAATAATTCGCTTACTATTTATTACTATAATGTGTATTGAAATGCACTTAGTCGAATTTCTAGTTTATATACACAATTTCCTAACATTTAGAAGTAAATTTAGTTTTTTTAATAAAAAATCATTCTGTAAACTATTGCATTTAGCAAAATTTTAAGCTCAATCGAGTGAAGTAATGAAAAGTAAAGAACCACAAAAATATTGCAGTTATTAGAGAAGAATTATTAGTATGGTCCAGTACGCAGCTAATATATTTGCCGGTACCATACTCCATAGTTTCTAAAAAGTTCAATATATTTAGAATCAAATATATATATGTAAATATTTGAACTTTTCAATACAATTAATGTTAACGCATTCTGTTTATAATTCTTACTTACTATACATTTCAAATAAGATAGAAAAGATCTATTATGATCGCGGTGCAATATCACGCTCTAATAATGTTATAATGAGATTGTAAATTTAAGTTTTAAATTTCATTTAAAATATAGTTTAGCTGCAATTTACAATTTTTTGAAATTAAATTTGCATTTATAAATATTTATATATTTTGTTTATAAATTACAGTAAAAAGCATTGACGTAAAAATTTTAATGAAAAACACAGGCAAATAATTAGAAAATACAAATAATAATCATTAACAAATAGGCATAATCATCCTCGTATTAATGTTATTGACAACAAAAAAAAAGAAAATACAAAAACAAAAACAAAAAATTAATAATAATAAATATACAAAAGAATTGCTTAAACGTTTTATTATATCTTTTGCTTCGAAATGTTATTTAATACTAAAATGTTAAAATACGCATACTTATAAACTCGTACGTATGTGGGTTAAAGTTTTCACAACAACAAAAAAAGCAACAAAAAAACAACAAAAATTAAAAACAAAAAATGCAATAAATTGATAACACAAAATTAATAATATTAATATCGACATTTAATGTGTTTTGCAATAAAAAATAATTTATTAATTTAAAAACAATATTATGTTTTATAAAATTATATAAATATTTTTAAAGAGGTTTTTTCGAACAGTAGTGAACTACAACAACAAAAAATTATTTTAATTAATTGAATTTTTGGCTGACAACTGTTATACAGCTGTTTCGAGTATTGCCAAATACCCAACATCAGTGGTCTTGGAAATAATTCTTGTATTTAATTATTCGTAAATAATTTTTTTTGAGACTGCAAGTACCAGGAATCAAACTCGGGTCCTGCCAAATGTGAAGCTCAGAATCAGCGCACCTTATTATTATTTTCTTTTTTCTATTGCTTAAGTAACTGTTATAAATGAAAAAATTCGGAATACTACGAAATCCCGAAATTATACAAAAATGTAAAGGGATATTTTAGGTTAGAAATTATTGTTGTTGTAACCTAAAGACTTCTTTGTTTAGAAAGACGAGCAAAACTTATTCAGCTGAAAAGACGAATGGCAACGTTCTTGTTCTTGTAATCTGATGAGACCCTCTTTAAAGCGGCGAGTAGAACTTGGTCGTTCGAAAAGATAAATAACTCCGGGCCATCACCAACTGTGATACAAGACATAAGACACAAAATTTTAGGTGCACACCAAATAAAGGATAAAGACCTTCAAAAAACATTCTGAAGGATCTGGTTTGATCCGTCGAGATACTAAATGTGTAAATATAAAGGGGTGCGCAATAGATCAAGCTGGACGCAGTGCATAAAGGTCTTAGCCTGATCCATATACCATTACAATTACTTACTCCGGGCAATCCTACTATTTGGCCATGGACAGATTAAATCAATTTCTTGGGGGTTTAACTTTTGCGTAAGGCTTATTTAAAAAAATTTGGGCATGTATTGTGTATGTGAAAACACCATCGACCAGAAAAAGGAAATAAAAATTTGTGCATATATAGTACTAGTTTAATAACATTTTCAAACGATATAAAAGTTCTAGAACATTTCTATACTAAAAATTGGGTAAATAATACGAAAAATGTTAGAAAAGACATGTTTAATCTATGGAATTAATCTAATGTGTCAACACACTTTAGGATTAAAAAAAGGCAGTGTTGATATAGAGTCGTTAAGTTTGTCCCAACAGAATTATAAATCAAGAATTGTGATTCAAAATAAATTTTAGAAACACGATTGTAGTACTACGTAAATAAAAATTTGTGTTGATAGGACATACGCTAAGAAAAAAAATCATTAACTTAATTATATAGTAAGTTTTGTATTATAACCGTTGGGTAAGAAGAGAAAGAAGTCAACTAAAAACAAACTGGAGAGAATTAACAGGGATTTTATCAGTTTTAGTGCTGTCTCTGTAAAGCTCTGTTCTCAACAACCGACATTCTGTCTTTCAATTGAATGGCGGAATGCTTTCTGTTCAGTTAGGGTTGGTTAGAAGAACAAATGATTAGTCGTGGTCACAGTACTCTGCTCTATTGGATGCTAGTACCTGATGTATTTTTTATTTGATCTATTCTATAACATGAGAGAATAACGATAAAAGTATTGTCGAATTGAAGATGATCGCATTGCGACGAGTAAGGTAAAAGCGACTTATGGACGGCCTATGCTTAGTTGAGAGGCGGATCAAAATCAAAGACATCCTGAAATGTTTATTATCAGTATTGTTTTTATTGTTGTTGGTTGATTGATTAGCACAATTGCCACATAATTACCGACAGATAGTTCATTAGTTTTCAAGGTGATAATAAATATTTAATTTTTTTTCTAGAAGAACAGTCAAAATAATAGAGAACAGATAGTAAGATTGAGATAGAACAAAATGGTGAATAAAATTTATAGCTTATGTAAGAGAAAGGCCCGAATCGTTTGACTATATCTTCTATCCGCCTACACATTGAACATTCCATTGTAGTTTTTGGTACTGTTAATACGTTGTTAGTTGTTATGTGTATGTAGCTGATATATGAAGGAATTATATAGAATAATTTTGAAGAATTTGAATTTATATCGGTTACAAAATATGAAAATGTTTTATCCGTGTGATAATTCGATAAAACATTGTGTTAATTAAACTTTTTTATTTAAATTAATATTTCTCTAATTTCATAGTTCAACAACTGAATATATATCAAGCAGTACTATAACATATTTTAATAATAAAACTTTCACAAATGCACAGTGTTGTTTCTATTATTGTTAAACCTATTATTATATTAAGAAAAGTTAAGAAACTTTTCAAAAGAGGTGTCATTTTTAAAATAAAATTTAATCAATAATTATTCAGCCGTAATAGTTCAGTTCCGCCCATTGAGCGTGTTAAATCAATTATCCTCCACATTATATTTAAATAAGTCTAATTAGCATGATTTTAGTAACTTTTAAAAAGTTTTTCTAGAAAGTTAGAAAAATAAGACATGCAGTAATTCTCAATTACCTACGCACTTTCCAGTTCCTATAAAAACAGAAAACTTTCCTTGTACACTTCATAAGCTACTAGAAGTGAAGGAAAAGGTGTACATTGAGTTTAAAAAATTTTTAAAAATATTAGATAAAGATTAAGATGTTACCGCAGTTCTTAACTGATCAATATCCTTTGGAGCAACATTTATTTTTGATACCAAAGTATAGTTTACGTTTAATAGGTTGTGATCCAGAATCACCAAAAACATATACACTCTATATATGGGCTGCAATAAATTTCATAAATTTGGCTTCATGTGTTACAGCGGAACTCACTTTTGGCATCTATAATCTATCACTTGATCCGCTAACTGCATTGGATGCGTTATGTCCTGCTGCTACTAGTACAATGTCTCTGTTTAAAATGATCAGCATTTGGATGTATCGTGATGAGTTCTCTTCGCTCATGGAACGGATTCGGGTATTATTGTTAAAACAAGAAAATAGTGAACCTAAAAATCAATTGAGGCGCGAACTCTTCACGCTAACGACACGTCTATCAGCTATCGTTTTCTTTTTGGCCATTTGTACTACAACTACATTCACAATACGTCCATTGGTCTCCAATCTATTTCGATATTTAAGTGATTTGGATTATGCACACGAAATGCCATTTAAGCTCATGTAAGATATGTGATATGCATTTATAAAAAGATATACTACTTAAGGGTGTCAGTATACATTATTTAAGTCATTTGTGGACTTTCGCGGTCATTACATATAGGACTATATTGTTCCATTCAATCATACATATTTTACTACTGTAAAAAAGGGAGATAAATGAATTTGTTATTATATATTTTTTTGTTTAAAAATTGTAGTTAATCCATAATTTTAGAAATGTTCCAAGCCAAAATTCTCAAAAACCCTCTATACTACCGATATTAATTTTTTTATTTAGTTAAGATATTTTGTTATATCAATCTTAAATTTAAATAATTATGAATTTAAATATAAATAAATAAAAAATTTTTAAATATCTCTTTGGAAAAAGGTTACCTCAGGTGTTATGTAGAATGCCGATGTATCCAATAACCTATATCTATATTGCTTGGCATGGATTTATTACGCCATTTTCTTTTGTTGGTTCAGATTGCATGTTTTTTTCCTATTGCTTATATATCACAGCGCTTTTAAAATGTGTTCAATTGGACATTACTTCTACTTTGGCAGAATTAACTGGTAAGTAATATTATAAAAATTACATTTATAATACATACAATATGTTTACACTATTCTAATTTTTTAATCATATTACAGACACTGACAAAAATTCAAGTAGATGTGAACAAAAACTAAAACTAATTATAGAACGACATAATGAAATATCGGTACTGACTGAACGTTTTTCAAAGATAATGGCTATTACTACCTTAAGTCATTTTGTGTCATCGAGTATGATTATAGGCACAAGTGTTGTAGCAATTTTATTTGTAAGTTCAATTATTAAATCAATCTATATGTTTTATAAAGGATCATAAGGAATCGTTATAATTTTTTTTAAACTAGAATGTGGATCAATTAGAAATTATAATATAAATTTTTTTAGTACAGGTTTTAAAAATATATTATATATTATATTAGCAATTGCTTTCTATACCATAACTTGTTCTTTATATTGGGAGAAACAACCGATATAAATAGACTTGTATATTATAATTGCAAATACATAGCTTTAAATCCAGCTTTTCTACATTATTTAAATTGGATCTATGAAAAGTATGTCAGATCCAATGTCTACTTCATGAAATCCATCGTTAACTTCAACTAAAGTTAACTAAAGCAACCTTTGTTATATATACATTCATATTTTAAGTACCATATATATATATTAAATATTATATCTTTCATGATAACCTAAACTATAATTTTTATTCCTGCAGCTCACTGGTATTGGAATTGTACTGTACGTTGTTTATGCCATATGTGTGACAATGGAGTTATTTTTATTTTGTTATGGTGGATCAGCTGTTATTGAGAGCGTAAGATATATAAAATTACATATAATATAAGCATTTGATATATTCAAATTCAAGCTTTAAAAAATAAGATTGAACAGTATTAAATACGAAGACCCTATTTATATTAGACATGCTTTATTCATAATATTATTTAATATTTACCTATTTTCAGTCACAAGAAGTAAGTGAAGAAGCTTATTGCAGTCACTGGTATAAGAGAGATAAAAATATTCAAAAAATGGTTTTATTACTGATGTTGCGTGCACAACGCCCTCTAGTTGTTAAAGTACCATTTTTTGCACCATCTTTACCAGCTTTTGCATCGGTAATAATTACGATATATACTGAAATATATATTTATATATAGAATTGAATATAATTTTTCTTACAGATATTGCGTTTTACAGGATCATTGATTGCATTGGTCAAATCATTTTTGTAAATTAAGAGAATATAGAGTTGTGGTTTTTAGATTCGTTATGAATACAGTAAAAATCCAAATTTTTTTTAATTATATAGTAGGATATATCAAAAATATATTTAAAAAATCCATGAAACTCATACCATGAGAAAGTTTTTATGTAAAATTATTTAAAGAACCTTAGTACATCCATACTTCGCTATAATAGAAAACTATTCTTTGACTAGGATTTGGTACCGCTTTATTGCCATCGCTCTTTGATGTCGGTCCTATCGCGCTCAACTCTAACGCAGTTACTGTTTATAGAGGTAGTAGCTTAGTATATTGTATTGGAAGCATAATCGTTTGACTTTTATGTACAACAGCAACTTGAACTGGCCCCTGCTTATATCAAGACAGTCTTTGTAACTAATGTACCTTAAGGAGTGTTATCTTAATTATAAGTGTATCCATTATAAGTATTGTTCAAATTATATTATTCTTAATAAGTGTCATGAAACGTCAATTGTTATATTCTTATCAACAAAATTCACTGCAAATCTTATTATAATGATTGATAAGATATCCTTCATATTTAGGGCTGCGTTTCAAAATGGGTTAATATATCAAAACTGCTTTCATTGGTTATGTATTAATATTAAAATTACTTAAATACAGTAAGTATATATATATAAATATAATATATATATATAAATATATATATATATATTTTATTAATAAATTAACTATAATAAGAAATTGGATTTTTGTGTCGATTACGTGACACATCTTATGACGAAAAAAAAATTAGATGGGTTCAAACAATAATGAAGAAACAACTACAAAAATTTTTGTATTCAGTATTAGTGTTGTTAGTTATTAGTATTAGTATAAGTATTCGAGTATTGTTAGGAAATTTTTGTAGTTGTTGTTTCTTTATTACTGCTCGAACCCTTCTAAATATAATAATATATATAATATATATTAAAATAATATAATATGTATAAATGTAATATATAAATATTATTTATATTTCTTGAATTTAGGTTTTCAATAATAATTAAAATATAATAATATAAAAATATGATAGTAATTTGTATTATTAATATATAAAAAGATTTTTAATGAATTTTATTATAAATATCCGTTATTTATTATTTACATTTATGTTGGATATACCAATGTACTCATTATTAATACCTGAACCATTAATAGTCTAATCATATTATAAATTGTTAATACACAGATAATTTGATTGAACCTTGCCTTAACTATGGTGATATGTCAGAACCCTGACTACAATTATGTATAACTGAACGCTCTTTTTTTATTCTTTCACAACTAATGTTTTCCGCTTTACCTGTGAATCATATATTAATAATATAATAAAAATATAAAAACAAATATAATAAACATTAATTTTTGGGGGAAGAATAAATATTTTGGGCAGTTTGGTTTTGGAATTCTTCGGTGAAACATTTGCTTTTAAGAATTCAGCATGGAATCTATGGAATATAGTTATAATTCAATAAAAATTGATTTCTATATGATAGAATGTGAGTGTATGGAAAGCTTGTCAATTTACCAACCCAAAAGAAAGTATTGCGATATTCTTAAGGAAGGTAAGTTTTTCCAGATATGTTTATAATATATATGAAGAAAAATTTCGACTATTATAGTTGCATCGAGCAAATATGAAGGTTATGCGACTATTACCTTCATTTTCAGACAATTGTGTTTCTGCAACATTGACAAGCAATTGGAAAAATTATATGAAGCCATCAATAGCAATGATTATCTGAAATATGTATCCAAAATTATAATGGTGTGTTCACATATTCAAGCGTAAGTGATATATTGCAAAAATTATTTATATTTTATACTTAAATGGGAAATGTAAATAATAACTGGTAGTAGTAAGAGATAGTGAGACCCCATACATCCGTTTATTTTTCTGTGAGATATTATTTATGAGGAATTCATTTCGCAATGAAGGTGGTTAGGTGTATAAACCATTGAATATATAATATATAATCTAATACATATAAATATAATGCTATAGAATTTTATGTATTAACTTAATTTTTTTTTATTATAGCGCTAAAAATTATATTAAATTGTTTATAATTTTCATATTAAATTTGTCAATCAAAATGCATGTATTGTAGTAGTGGACCATGTTCACCATATGCTTAGTTAGTTCCAGTGTCTGATCAGTAAATATCTTTCAAATTTTCATAGTAAGCGAGTATTTATCGTTTTATTGCCACATGCCTCATAAGCATACAACATAGATATGACTAGATCCAGCTTATTGAGTTTCTGAATTATTATTATTAAAGGTCAAACTTTTTAAGCTTTTTATATATTTTAACACGGTTTTTGGGATTTGATATTCCATAATTCATATTAAGGCATAATAATACCAACTATATAGTGAAGTCTTTGTTCGCGAAGTATTCTACGCCCACAAAGATTATGCTGTGAGCATATTCTTAGTGACATTTGTGACAGACATCATTGTCGGAAAACCTCAGCTTATTTAAGTAATATCGCCGATTGCAATGGCCAGTAAAATAACTAAATAGATTTCTCAAGTTTTTTCAGCTTAGCGAAAATATGCTACTTTTTATTTTTGTTAGAATAAATTCTCGTTTTGCCTGATCTTAGCCTACATATTAAGCCAGTGTTTTATTAATTTTTTCTATTCCTATTTCCTGATGACCTCATTTAAGTGGATTTCTTTTAATTCACAGAAATGCAAAAGATCCATAAAATTTTTGTAGTTTAAAAGATATTTTGTTCTTACCGGTGAGCAGTACTAAAATCTGATAAAGATGTACAACTCCAATATTATGTTTCTATTGCTAGTCAAAGCGGGGTAATAATTGATAAAATGAATATCTATTTTTTTAGTCTGTTTCCATAACTTATGCAATTTGTTGTACTTACGCACAATAGCATATGCTCTCATACATCAACAGCCTTAAATAACTGCAATTGTTCTAGCAATGTTGATTCGGTCCCTGATAATAATTTCCCAGAACCAGAAATTATAGTAGCTATTATGGTATTGTATGCTAGATCAACAATATGTTAATATAAAGGTGGTCATCTCTGTTATCGGTATTAAGGCAAATAGAAATCGGAGACATCCATAGGAGCATTAAATATAATTAAACTGTGTTTTTTTATTTAATCTTATTCTGCTTTGACTAGGAATCTAGATTGGTTGAAGCCCGGATGGTGAACAATTGAATAACTTAAATTGTCTCTTGATTACCAATAAAATTGGTAACCTTACAGTTATCCTTTGTATGGCTCTTGTTTGCCCTTGATTACTAATAAATGTAGTAACCTTAATATGGTTGGTAATGTTTGCTTAATCGTAAAGGGTTTATCTTGAAAAACTTATTATAGAATATTTTTTTACAAGACGTTATGACTAATTACTATCGTTAAATAATGATATGGACGAAATTTTAATGGTTTAGGTTTTACTAAAGTTTCTGGATCGTTCACATCAGCTCTAGTGGGTGAGAATAATTTCGACAAACACGTCCCGTTTTTTCTTTTATAATAAAAATATTGCTCTATTGAAGATTTTAATATTTATTGATAGAGATAACATTATACTCTAAGAGTTATCTATGCTATATCATTTAATATAATTTGTACATATTTAAAATAATTACTATTTTTGGTAGTATTTGTATTCGCTTCTTTTATTAACATTTTTTTAGATCTTCCGATTAAAATCTATTATATTGAAATTATATTTTATTATTTTTATTTTTAGACCACCATCACCTGAGTCATCTGCTGTTAAAAATAGCAATAGTGAGCCTAACAGATCAAAGGAGACTACTTCAAATTCAAATACAATTGATGAAATTATTACGATAAGAAACGATGTAATGTTAAAAGTGGTGTTATCTGAATTTTTTCGGAACTCCAATTCTCGAGCACTTCCGCCAGTTGATAATTTAATTTTACTGCAATGTCAAAGCATAAGTAAGCTTAAAATTGGGGTCTTTTAATATAGTATAGTGTTTAGAAATTAAACAGACCTTAAATAGTTTAGTTATTGTCCTGTTCCCTATTTTGGCACTCTTCTGCAATTAAATATGTATTAAGTATATTTTATATTCAAAATAGAGAAAACTGGTTGGACATCGAAATAATTCCATATTTTATATAGAAGTTTTGATTAATAATGTCCATTGCTGTATTAGAATTATTATTGTGGTTCACCTTTCTAGTTAGCGATGAAACTCTAGCAGGGGTTGTTAACGGTTTTTGCTTCTAGCTGATTGTTTCTGGTACCATAACATTAATAAAATTGATTCAGTTATATTTTAAACTACCAGATCGATTGAATTCTTGCAACTGATGTTTATGAATTCATGTTCTGAAAAACAGAATTTGGTGCAAATTTATTAGCGTCAAAATTGTTCTTCTGAGTACTACATTAATTTAGGTATATATGGCAGAATTGGGGTCCATATCCACCTTAATGAACTCTTCTCTAGATATGTAACATATGAAACTTATATGTTATATTATTAACGATAAAAAATAATTTAAGAACCTATTATTTATATTGTAAAACTTGTCAATGTGAATATAACTTGTGTTTCGAGATGAATTACAATTGTAATCATATATTCACATATAATATTTTTTACTTCATAACTGTATATTGCACCATATATATGATTAGTTAGTATATTTAAAAATTACAGAGAAATAACTTTTTCAATATGATTTATAGCAACCATGCCAGTTGATGAAAATAACCCCGCTGTATATCCTTTCATGTTTTTTAATCAGATAGTCGAACATGGTAAGGACAAAAGTATACAGGAAATCGCAAATTATTTAGAGGAAGACTGGGGTGTAATACAATATAAAGAAAAGTAAGTTAAATTTTTATATAGTCGTAGTTGCACATATTAATCAATAAAAAAAATAGCTCTATGGGATATATACTGTATTCTCTAACCACAACAACTGGGAGTAGTTATTATTACAACATCAATCCAGCATTGGTTATTATAATCAATCATATGAATTTTGAGCAATTCACTATTAGATCTGAAAGCGCCTATGATATTGAACGATTGCGAAATACATTTATAAGCAAAAAGATTCCTTTTATAATTATAAAAGATGGCAGTGCAGAAGAAGTGGAACGTCTAATGTCCAAAGGTATGTTGAAAGCTATTCGATATTTATTAGTAATAAATAAAAATATTGCCCCAATTAATGTAATGTACTATTACTATTGCAGTGAGAAGATTTAATTTTACAGGATTAAAAAATTTATACATTGTGGTGATGTCACATGGTGATGAAGATGATGTCATATATACCAAAACCGATACATATAATATTAAGGATACAGTTTTAGATGCTATTACTTCTAATAAAACACTAAAAAATACAGAAAAATGTGTACTTATCAATGCATGTCGTGGTACTTATGACCCACGTTACGATGATGACGAGTTGGAAGTAGAAGAAACTGATACAAGCAATCAGGATGAGACATTAACTACAATTTATAGTTCTCAGAAAGGTACAAAATATTATAATTAGAATGTATTAGATTCAAAATATATATTAAAATTATTAGTACGAATAACTTATACGAGTTTGAAAATACTTATTTATATATACTTATATATTGACATTATAGGAACGGTCTCGTATATGTTAAAGGATGGTGCGCGAGTTGTAAAAGAGTTTTGTGAAGAGTTTGAACGCCCATTTATGAATCTTTCGATAAATGAATTCGCTGAAACAATCGAAACAAATTTACAAAGAAAAATGAGGTAATTGTTAATACGTATTCTACGAAATAATTTTTATCTTATCATTTCTGAAAAGTCATTATCATTTCTAAAAACTAAATTTTTTATTTTTGGCATACTTCTTTATTTAAATTTATCAATGAGTATTGTTAGTGCTATCTCTGTTTAATCTAAGTAATTAGGTTTATAGTAAATTTTTTGTGAGTATATAACCTGTACTTCATTTAATATATATCCATAGGTCTTAGTTTGGCATTTGGGTAATACAGTTCAACAACCTTAGTTTGTTAAATACTAATTTGATACTAATTTGATTTTATATTTATGAATGAACTAGTTTTTACTCATTATGCTTATCTTCCTGTTATAATTCAAATTACCATAGTATTATTGCACCTTATACCCGAAAAATAGTTGTACATATAGGATGTTTCAACTTTGTGTTTTAATTAGAAAATTTAATCTATCTTAAATTTTAGTTTAAGATTCTCTGATATACCAACTAGTATATATTTATATTATGTTAAAGCTAGTTGAGTCAGTGTACTTGAGCAATTTTACTCTCTATTGACTACGAGGTTTCTTCAAAACCCCTCTCTACGCCTTGACTGAATTATTGTTTATCACTTCATCAGACAAAGCAATAATTGACCTCAGATCTGCATATCTCCCCGAGGAGCCTGTAATCATTCTGAGATTCGATAACGCGGTGTTGGTAAGCCAGTTTTCGTAAATAATTTCAGGGCTCTATCCTTTATGTATTTATTGATCGGATCAATCTTGAGGTTCCTTAGGACCTCTACTAAAATGTCTTATTATACCAGCTAGTTTGCTATTATACCAGATTATATTATGATCCAAATAAATGCTCCAAAACACCGAGATTGGATAATATCAAATCTAAACTAGAGATGAATATACTTTACAAATTGATAGAATTAAGTGCAAGCTAACATAGTAACTTTATTCTAGACTCTTTAGTTTTCGAAATAACTCCATAAATTGTAAAAGAATGGGAAGCAACAAAATAGAGAAAGGCATTGGTATTAAAAAAAGTGCTGACTCAGGAATACAACACGTAATTGAGTCCGTGATGACTAATCACTATCGTTTGTACAACAATATGTTGCTAAAAATTTTAATATTTCAGTAAAATATGGATTTTATAGAATTCATGACATATAAATTATTGTTAGTATTTTCTTAAATATCCTGGCTTCGGATTTCCTGATTATGTCAATTTGACTACGGATTTTTGTCAAGATGACTATTTCGATCAACTGTTTTCAGTACTCTATATATCAATATAGCTTAGTTTTTGAGATATGACTCTTTTAAATAAAAAAGTTTTGATATGAATCATCAACAACATTCGGTACGTTTTTGATTTGTTATTTGTTAGCACTAGATGGCGTTTGTAGTTTTTCTTAGTATAATCAATGCAAAAAGCTTTAAACTTCGAAATCCTTAGAAATAAGCTACATCGACATATAGCGTAGAGGAAAATATTGCTCAAAATAGCTGACTTTACTAAAATTTGTTGTTAAATGGAAAAATGCGCGGGATGTTAAATCCATACGATATTCTATGTCAGGGTGAATTTGAAAAATGACTCCCACTATAAAATCAGTGATTTAATTAATATCATTTAACACATAAACAAAAAATTAATTTAATAATTATCACATTAATGTATATAAAATTATATATAAATTTCAGCTTTGAATCTAAAATTACTGAGTATTGTACAAAACCGGAAACACCGCATAACGTCGTTATGGAGTTTAGAAATATAATGGAAAACTTGAGTACGTATAAGGAGTTATTCAAGATTATAGATGACGAGGAAAATCAAAATAAAATTAATTAAATAAATATTGTTTGAAATGTTTTGCTATACATATATTATATTGTAATTTCTAAAAAATAATTTATATTATTAAATAAAATTAATTATTAAAATAAATAATTTCGTTTATAAAAATTAATAATTTTTTATTAGAAATCAAAAATAAAGTTCAGACAGTTTTATTTCTAATAAACTGTATTATTATTATAAGTATATGTATTATAATGTTACCGTATATTTATGGTTAGACTGTAATTATATTTATTGGCAATCTAATATGTAATTATTATAATATATAGTTGTTATAGACATTAGACTATTTAAAGTAAATTTATTTAAATAAATAAATGTCTTCATAAACTGAACTATTATGTATTGCATTATTATTTCCCATATGTTATAATATATAAAATAAATGTTTTCGTAGGGCGTTAAGACATTCAAAGCCCAAAAACATGGTTTTGGAGATACCAACTTCAGAGAGGTAAAACTTTTTCGAAAATTGGATCAATAGAATGCAAAAATGTCTCGATACCAACTTCAGAGTGTCAAAGCTTTTTCGAAAATTGAATCAATAGAATGCAGAAATGTGTCGATCATCATGGAGAATACTTCATGAAACAATAAAACTATTTTCAGTGATTAACCACTGTATTTCCATTGTTAGGCGCAAGACTCAAAAAACAGCCCTTGTATATATTATTATATACAATATAAATTGATAAGCTTGTCAACAAAAATGTGGGTCACAAAAAAGTCAATATTTTGTGAATATTTGCTACTTATATATATATATATATAGTTTATTTCTATTAATTAAACAAATTAAAAGGTGTCAAATAAGTGTAGGTAATTAAAAATGATTAAAAAGTACGAGTATATTAACCAATGTATTAATTTAATTATAAATGAACCCTTTGATAATGGTTTTCTTATTAGAATCATATTACAAGTTTTCACTGTCCCAGAGATGGGAATAATCTGAGTTCATAATATTTATTTGATATCTGGTGTATAATAATATTTCGTAATACGTGTCTAAAAAGTGTACCGGAAACTTTTGTTAAATTTGAAAATTAATATATATTGTATTATTTGTAGTAGAGTCATAATTATAGGGTGATAAAGGTATTTATCAACTTATATTGAATTATTCTCAACTAGCTATAATCAGTAAAAGTGCTTATTGTTAAACGCTTATCTATAAAATTCATTGTATATCTTATTATTTGGAATGATAAGATATACATCATATTTGGGGTTTCGTTTCATAAAGGGCTAAAACTTTTGATGTTATTCGAAAATATTAAATTGTTCCTTTATGTGTACCCGTATTATGTATTATGTTTACCCGTATTTTCCTGTAATATTCCATTGAAGCTAGCATTCAACAGATTTTTTCAATAAAAACACAAATTTACTTACTAATACTTATATGCCTTGTGCTATGTTCAATATATTGTACTTGATTCAATAAATATGCACCAATATGTGCCACTTCTCACATCAAATCTATACGAAATCAATATAAACATAAGCTAATAGGGTACGATAAGTATATGTACCCTTAATCCCATAAAATATTTCAGAACCCTAACTATAAACATATTTAACTAAACACTGTTTTTTTTATATTCGTGTGTTAATATACAAAAAATATAATAAAAATAAAATATCTATGACGAGGGAAAATCGTCTAAAGGAATTGAGACAGTATAGTTTAATTTCTGAAGTCTTTGCTGAAACAGTTAAGTTTAATATTTAAACATGGAGTGTATGGAGTATGAATATAATGCGATAAAAGTGAAAACTTATATTGTAGATTGTGAGTGTATTGAGAGGTTTTTATATATTGAACCTGTAATAAAATTTAGTGATATTCTTAAGAAAGGTAAATTTTTTGGTGTATTTTCATAAACAATATAAGTAGTTGTTGCTTATTGTATATCGTAGTTTCGGAAAAAAAATATGTTGGCTGTACAACTATTACATTTGTTTTTTCACTACTTTGTTCTTGTAATATGGATAAGCAATTGGAGAAGCTATATGAAGCTATCAACAGCAATGAACATCTCAAATATGTAACTAAAATCATACTATTGTGTTCACATTTGATGTCAAATTTCTCGTAAGTGATATATGACATAAATTATGTTTTATAAAATAACTATTTTATTATATATAAAAGTGTGTTTATAAAGAGGAATATAGTTTTTATTCAACAGAGAATGGATTTTATTGTTTGAATCAAAAAATACTGCAACTAACTTAGGTCTATCGGGATATTGGCTTTTGCGCTTCGTGGAGAGAAAAAATACACCAGCAAATATTATTTTACTAGTATTTTTTTTTTGTAGATCATCAAATTTATTTATTATATATTATATTGTCAGGGGGTCATTTAACCCTTAAAATTCCCTTGAATACGTTACTGACAGTCAGACTCTCGTTACAATCTGCAGTTGTATCAACATGTTTTTATCGTGATCAATTATATAAATTTCAAATCTTTCAAAATAAGGTCCAGTCCAATAAATTGCGTTTATGACTTGAATCTATCACGTATTATTCTCGAAGGCCTCAGTTGATTGTACACGAGAAAACACGAGCAATTTTGATAAAAAATCAAAATATTTGATAGCCATCGGACTCATCGTCAGATCTGTAAATATTGCTATTACACATTAGACTTGGCATAAATTTTCCATTTCGCTTAACATCATTGTCTATCAAGTTCTTTTGGTTAGTAGCTTTATCTTTAAAATATAAACGTATGTTGACATCTGCCGAAGACAAGGTGGTATTTAGTTTTTCAATGATTGGGTTTCAAGTGTTTTGTGGTTCATTTCCACAAGTTTTGTTCAAATTCGTTGATTCTAATCGAATTTATATATATGCTAAGAATTGTGAATCCAGATTAATAATATTAAAAATGGTTAGTGACATTATGCTGTATGACTGCTGAAAAGTCAAGTAAAGGTTTTTTAAATTATAGTAAAGTTAAAGCTCTAGTTTTTTTTTTGTATCACAAAGGCTTCCGTATTAAAATTTTTATTTTATTTCTAACAGTAGTTTTGCAAGGCCACCGCCGCTATCAGCTATCGAAAATGGTACCAGCGAGACCCACAGTTTAGAGGACCAAAATACAAGTCAAACCGATGAAATTATTACAATACAAAACGATGTACGATTTAAAGAGAAACTAACGAAATGTTTTAAAAACACTAATTCTCGGAACCTTCCACCAGTTGATAATCTTATTTTAATACAATGTGAAAGCATAAGTAAGTGTAATTATATGAATTGTTAATTTACTATATGTGCCTTAAGAAATAAATAGGCTTTATATCGATTCGTTTTCATATGTAACTCCAATTAGACAATTTAATTAAACATAATGTTATTAATTGAAAGTCATATCATTTCATATAGGATTTTATGAAATAATACTGAATAACATACTAAAGCATCGTGCTATATATATATGTAATAAAAAGGAAAATAAGAGAAAGTTAGCGTCATCATATTTCATTTATAGGTTAGAGGTTTCAGATTTTGAACATTTCGTGAATTTCTTGAAAACCATTAAAATTAATATGTACAGAAGAGAAGAGATGATAGCGCAGATTGGACCTATAAATCCCGAAAATATAGTGGAAAAGATGAAAGCGAACTCAGAGAGTAGGCGAACGATAAAGTCATATTAAATCAAGTCCTCAAAACGAAGAAACTAGACTTGGAAAGGAGAACCAGAAACTAGAATAATAAATAGTGCAGACACATGTGCGTGGCTTGAAATACCAACATTAAAGAGACCCTCCTCGAGGTAATACGAAAGCGGTTCCGAGGGGGATTAAGTCGCGCTAAAAAAGGGGGTACTTTAGTCCGTATACAACATATTAATGTTAGGGAGTTGAGCACACCATTTCAACACACCACAAAACAAAAACTATGTACACAATTGAATCACTAACTTTCAAATTAATTTTGATATACTTTACTTAATTTTTATTTACATATTTAAATGCTATAGACATTTCTTCATTAAAAGTTACAATACTTTTATTGTCTTATAAACATTTAATCTTTACTTATAGCCTGTGGTGTAGTTGATCAAAATAATCCAACGATGTTTCCTTTTATGTTTTTTACTCAGTTGATTACACATGGTGAACAGAAAAGCATACAAGAAATAGTGAAGATTTTAAAAGAAGATTGGGGTGTAATTAAATATAAAGAATCGTAAGCTCACATTTTAGTATATACATAACATATATATTATATACTAATCAATAAATAAACATAGCGCTTTAGGATATATACTGTACTCTCTAACCACTACAACTGAGAATTTGTATTATTACAACATCAATCCAGCATTAGTTATTATTATAAATCATATGAATTTTGAGCAATTCACTATAAGATCTGAAAGCATAAACGATATCGAACGATTACGAGAAGCTTTCAAAAGCAAAAAAATTCCGTTCATTATTTTAAAAGATGGCAGTGCAGAAGAAGTGAAATCTATTATGTCCAAAGGTATTCTAATATAAAAAAAAATGTACCTCATAAGCTTATTAAAATTTTTTCATTGCAGTGAGAAGATTTAATTTTACAGGATTGAAAAATTTATATATTGTAGTAATGTCACATGGTGGTAAAGATGATATAATCCATACGAAAACTGATACATATAATATCAAGGATACTGTTTTCAATGCCATAATGTCTAATAAAACACTTAAATATACAGAAAAATTTGTACTTATCAATGCATGTCGAGGTAATTATGATGCTCGTTACGATGATGATGACTTGGTAACGGAAGAAACTGATATAAGTAATCATGATGAGACAATATCAACAATTTATAGTTCTCAGAAAGGTAAAAAAAAAATTTATGTAGTTAGAAAGTTTATACATAAAATCTAAATTAATATTATAGGTGCAAAGTCGTATAGGTCAAAGGATGGTGCGCATGTTGTACAGAGATTCTGTGAAGAATTCGAAACTCCATTTATGAATCTTTCAATAAACGAACTCGCTGAAACAATAGAAACAAAATCAAAACTTAAAATGGGGTAATTATGATATTATTATGTATTATCTCTTATTGAAATTCGATAACGAAATTCATGGATTTCTTTCCGTGTTGTTACTATACAAATAAGTGTTCAATATTAATATTAAAAAAAAATATTAATTTAAAAATAAATTAAAATTAATTTCAGTTTGGATTCTCAGATGACAGAATATTGTGCTAAACCAGGAACAACGCATAATCTTGTGATGGAGTTCAAAAACATAAAGGAAAACTTAAGTAACTATAGAGAGTTACGCAAAATTTTGTATGATGAGGAAAATGAAAATAAAAATAATTAAAAATTTTTTTTAAAAGTTTTTTGAATATAATTTTACTATATATATTATTTATTTTATAAATAAAAAATGTTTTTCTTATAATGTAAACAACATGAATTATTAATTAATAATAATTAAATTATTACTTGTTATTATTTATAAAAATTACATTATTCTATAATGTATTTATGTATTTAATATCTCAAATATATGATTACTATGATGATATCTCATAATATTTGAATAATATAAATACGCCATGATTGTGTGATATAAGGTTACTGTTTCGCAAGTCCAAAACAAAAAAGAATCTGAATTAGAATATAAGTTTCATCTCAGTTAGTTATGAACAATATGAAAACTGTTTATTAATATATACAAATACTTCCGATCATCTGTAAAGTCATTCCTCCCATCATCTTATATTCTTCACCCAATCTGGTAACAAAAAATTGTTATTGCTTTAATTATTGTTGTTGCGAATAGGATTAGCAGTTAAATAAATTGACTTATAAAACAAATAGAACGTGGTCTCTAGGACGATCATGACCATACAATGGGTATGGTCATAATTATTTTCCTATTCCCATATCGGCCTATTTGTTGGTATATTATATTTATATTTGCGTTTGCATTTATTTCCTGGCGCGGAACTTTACTGATCTTTACATTAATATTCATTGCATTATTATTTTTAACTTTATTTAATATGTCACATATGTCTCTGGATTCATTTTACCAATTTGTGCAGTATACCGACATAATAAGTAAGTCCCTATTTCTGATACGGAAACTAACCATTTTTTATTTGTTTAAATATATAAATATTTCTTCCATATATCACTGAAATCAAAATGTACTTGTTATGAATAATATACTTTTATTATAGGTTCATTAACGTTGATTTATTTCAAGTAGTGTAAATAGACCTATTGTACGATTTGGGGAAAAAGCCTATATTGTGGACTGATAGAAGTGATTATCAAATTACGTCGAATTATTATCAAACATTTACAGTAAACATTGTTATTACTTTATCTATAAAATTCTCTTTAAGTTCAATTATACGATATGATAAGATATCCAACATGATTAGGGTCTCGTTTCAAAATGGGTTAATATTTTAATAGTTGTGATACCAAAGTCGTTGTCTTCAAACCAACATTTGAGTTTTAAAAAATATTTGTTTTGTGTTAATAATTTATATCGATATAATGTAATATTTTACAAATGGAAGGGATGGACTGCAAAAGAATGGTACTGGAAATTCTCCAAGAATGAGGAATAGGAACACTACAGAAGTTATAACACTACAGAGTAGTTATGCTACTACTAAAATAACCTTTCTTAATAAATTTTTTATTATAAGTGTAAGCTATTGTGCTATATATATATGATAGAACTAGTTTAATATTTGTATAATTCGTTGTTGGAATATGGGGTCCACAACGAATTTTATATATATAATTTTTTACACATTAATTTTAATTAAGTCTTATGAGAACATACTTATAACAAACGTATTTCATTTATTTATTCATATATGTATATATATGATATATATACTAAAGAATATTGTGCTCTATAATAACAAATCTATTTTGAATACAAAACGGGATTTTTTAAAATCAAAAATTTTTTTAACCTTTTTCCAAGTAATCTCTAGTGCTGATCATACCACTGTTTTGTTCACCACCAAGTATCGAATATTAGTGATCTTTTAATATAAAACTGAGTATATTGCTTATTTGTCTGCAAATAATTTTTATGCTAAAGATTGTAGGCATTAAGCCTGTGTCCAAATTTTAGATCTGGAGACATTTTTTATCTCCGGGTTTAAAGCCGAAGTACATTTAATTTAAAATTAAGAATTTTGTCAAATTATTTTGTTTATTGATAACTAATTATAATACTTGTATAATAATATATGTAATAATAATGAGCTTCAAATTTGGCAGGACACGAGTTCGATTCCTGGTATTTGCAGTATCAAAAAATTATTTACGAATAATTAAATACAAGAATTGACTTCAAGTTCATTAATGAAGGTTGTCAGCCCAAAATTCAATTAATTAAAATAATATGAAATGAATATTTGTTGTTGTAGTCATTACTGTTCGAAAAACCTCTTTATATAATAATTATATAATAATAATTTATTGAACGCATAAACCACTGTTATAAAAATTAACATAGTCATTGTACATTATTGTCTTTCAAACTTCATAGGAACTTTATAAGATCACAAAAGATAGAGCCCTGAAATTATTTGCGAAAACTGACAGACTTACCAACACCGCGTTATCAAATCTTAGAATGGTTACAGGCTCCTCGGGGAGGTATGCAGATCTGCGGTCAATCATTGCTTAGACTGATGAAGTGATCAACAATAATCCAGTCGAGGGGTAAAGAGGGGTTTTGAAAATACCTCGAGTTAAGAAAGAGTAAAAGTGCTGAAGTGCACTGGCTCAAATAGCTTTAACGTAGTAAAAGATTAGTAATTTTTTAGACATTTTTAAGAAATACTGATGAGGAATATTTGCAGGTCTTTGAAATAGCTGTATGGTCAGCCCAAAAATTTACTTAGAAAAGTTTTTGGACTTAAAAAATGCTTCACTATTTTACTACCCAACCCGCCTATTGACTTAAATTATATAGTATATGTACTATTCAAGTAGTCATATATTTGATAAATTATATAAAAATTTTTGATATAAATTTGACAAAATCTGAATACATATAAATTTATCAGATTATATATTATGCATATAATTACTTGGAAATTTTATTGAATCCTGTAAATATTTCAGAACCCTATCGATGTGCATATGTAACTAAACACTACGATTTTATATTCTTTCACATTTAATGAGAACGGGGACTTTATCTCTGAATCATTTATTAACAAAATAATAAAAATATAATAAAGATTACGGAAGAAATTCAGGTAATGTATGCATTTGATTGCCTAATTGTTGTGTGGAGCAGTTGCATATAAGACTTCAACATGGAGTGTATGGAGTATGTCTACAATTTGCTTAAAGTGAAACATTATATGATTGCATGTGAGTGTATTGAGAGGAATCCCCATTTTCAACCAATAATAAAATTCTGTGATATTCTTAAGGAAGGTATAGTAACTTTTCCGAGGTATTTTATAAAAACTATGAAAAAGAGTTCATTACATTGTAGTTTCGGAAGAAAAGTATGTAGGCTGTACTAATATTAACTTCGTTTTCTTACTGATGTGTCGCTGTAACTTGGATAAGCAATTGGAACAACTATATAAAGCTATCAACAGTAATCAACATCTTAGATATCTATCTAAAATAGTTATGCTGTGTACCCATTTTCAATCATATTATTCGTAAGTTACAGTTATTAACAAAATTTTTTTGTTTTAGTCAAGTTTTTTTTCAACTTTTTTTATAAGAAATACCGACAAAGTTTTACTTTGACACTAATATTATTGAAAGGAGATAAATATAAACTCAATTTGTAAAAATGTTTGCAGTATAATAAAGCAAACGTTGAGCAGTATACACACATATATATTATTCATCTATAGACAAAGACGATTAATTTAAGCAATGTTCATGGTGCTCTAGATCTGTCTATCCATCTGTTTATCCATTTGTCTATCAATTTGTCTATCCATCTGTCCAACCATCTGTCTATTCATCTGTGTATCCAACTGTCCATCCATTTACCTGTCTTTCTGACTATTTTCTTGTTCATCTATAAACAATTCTTTAATTTTTTAAGCTTACTAAATTGAACCTTGTCTTACGTTTTGCTTATTAGGGCTGATATAATTTATGAATGTAAAAAATTGATTGGTGAAATTATATACCATACTACTTAATGGTTTTTGTAATTAAGATTAATTGTCAATTTTTGTTTTGTATTTAACAGAAGATTAGAATGGGCACTAGGTGTATTTAGTATTGAAAATGGAATCATTGAACCATACATTTCAGAGGAGACCAATACAAACCAATTCGATGAAATTATTACAATACAAAACGATATACGATTCAAAGAGAAACTAATGGAATTTTTTGGGAACTCTAATTCTCCGGCACTTCCACCAGTTGATAATCTCATTTTATTGCAATGTCAAAGCATATGTAAGTTAAAAAATAGAACATGATACAGTTCAGACTTGTCTACAATCTAGTTCGTAATTAATTTTTACATAATTTTTATCTGCAGCCTGTGGTTTTGTAAATGAAAATAATCCATCGATGTTTCCCTACATGTTTTTAAATCAGATGTTTGAATCAGGTGAAGAAAAAAGCATACAAGAAATAGCGAATATATTAAAGGAAGATTGGGGTGTAATCAAATATAAAGAAACGTTAGTTGAATTTTAATATTTTTATATTAGAATATATATGTACCTATAAACAAACAGCTCTTTAGGATATATACTGTCCTCCTTAAGCACTACAACTGAGAATTGTTATTTTTTTAACATCAATCCAGCGTTAGTTATTATTATAAATCATATGAATTTTGAGAAATTCACTATAAGATCTGAAAGTATAAACGATATCGAACGATTACGAGAAGCTTTCAAAAGCAAAAGAATTCCGTTCATTATTTTAAAAGATGGCAGTGCAGAAGAAGTGAAATCTATTATGTCCAAAGGTATTCTAATATATAAAAAAATGTACCTCATAAGTTTATTAAAATTTTTTCATTGCAGTGAGAAGATTTAATTTTACAGGATTGAAAAATTTATATATTGTAGTAATGTCACATGGTGGTGAAGATAATATAATACATACGAAGACTGATACATATAATATCAAGGATACTGTTTTCAATGCCATAATGTCTAATACAACATTACGAAATACACAAAAGTTTGTGCTTATCAATGCATGTCGAGGTATTTATGATGCTCGTTACGATGATGATGACCTGATAACGGAAGAAACTGATATAAGTAATCATGATGAGACAATATCAACAATTTATAGTTCTCAGAAAGGTAGAAAATAACTTTTTATAATTATTATAAATAAAATCTAAATTAATATTATAGGTGCAAAGTCGTATAGGTCGAAGGATGGTGCGCAAGTTGTACAGAGATTCTGTGAAGAATTCGAAACTCCATTTATGAATCTTTCAATAAACGAACTCGCTGAAACAATCGAAACAAAATCAAAACTTAAAATGGGGTAACTATAATAATATTATTTATTATGTCTTATTGGTTCTTAAAATTAAATAATTTATTATTCAACTTCGATAACAAAAGTGATGGATTTCTCTCCCTGTTCTCACTATACAATTTATAAATAGACGTACATTAAAAATATATAAAATGTTTGGCTTAAAAATTTCTGTAATTTTATAAAGCATTAAACACTCCAATACTCTCGAAAAATTGACAAAAATAATGAATAGTAGCTACAATGCAAAAAAAAAGGGAATCCATCAAATGAATATTCCGACAAACGAACACAATTGAAGATGGTTTAATGGCTATGGTTTTTTTTTTTAAATTTAATAATTGAAAATGATTGATTTGAGTAACTATTTCACTGACTCCATTTATGACTATATCAAGATATTACACTGCCTTTGCTTTTTATGCATCTTATTCATCATGAGATAGTTGTTGTATCTTACGAGTATTTCCTTGATCAGTAATGCGGTTTATTCTTAATTAAGTAGAAAACCCTATTAAACGAACTTATAAAAGACGGAAATTATTAAATTGTAATCAGACTGATTCGAATAACATAGATTTCCAAGGTAAAGCTTGTTTGTCGTGAAAAGTAATTAATTTATTTAGCACCAACTTATACTGTTTTGAAGTACAACGAGCTACAAATAGGTTTCTAGTGCGTCGTGTAACAGTAGATGAGATCTGATAGCATAAAATTCATGTAATCGCGACTTTAGTTGTTCTGGACGTGAGATTGGTTCTATACGAGAGTGTCGTGGTGACTGTTAACACTAAGAGTTATGCAGCAAGAGTGTAAGCATTCAAGGACTCAAAAGAAGATAGACTTTACAAGAGTAACAGGAAGCTATACAAGGAGGAAGTAATATTCAAATGTATAATTTCAATTGGTATCGGTGTAATTTCTTTTCAATGGGGCATTTATCGGGGTATTATATTGATGCGTGTAATGCTGAGCTGTCACACTAA